GCGGGGCGCCGCGGTGAGGCGGGAACGTGCCCCCCGCAGGGCACGAGCCCCGGCTCGGCGGGAGGAGGATCGCCCTGCTGGAGGCCCGCGGCAGGAGGGAGCCCGGCCGCCCGCCCGCCGCCTACAGCAACCGCGTGAGCTCCGTGTCGCCCGGCTCCGCCGCGCTCCTGGGCAGTGAGTACGGCCGTGCCCCGCGCCGCGCCGCGCCCGCCGCTTGGAGCCTCGTTCCACCGGCTTAAACCGGGCCTGCGTCCCGGGCGTACCCCGGGCATGCGGTGTTTTCTCTCAGCATTGTACATACTGAATCGGGGATGTTAAATCGGGGATGCTTTTCTAGTGAGCAGGTATCCACGCTCTGGCGTCTTCGTCAGGGTTGTGGCATTAGGCCCGAGCTCCCAAGCTGCTCTCTCCAGCACCTGGAACACGCACTTCACAAGATGGGTTTGTGTTTTCCCCGTCCTCAGTGTCCTATAGCAGCTCCCTTTTCCAGGTGGGTTTTCTTTTCAAAGACAGATTTGAATGCTGATCCCTCATGGAGAAGGGGAGGGTTGGAACAAGGATCTCGCCATGAATTTGCCCTTCTGTTTTACTGCCAGCTGCTGGGGCAGTGGGGACTGACCACGCGTGTTGCAGCGGTAGCCCCTGGAAACCTGGCGTGTCTTTTCCATCAGTTTTGCGTTTTGCAGGACAAGGTGGTGCCGGAGCTGTGAACGCACCCCGGCAGGGCCAGGCAGTTGTGGAGACCTGGCAAGAAGTTACTGCTGGTAGCCCKGGAGGGGCCTCCGAGTGACCATTGRGCTTTGGGAGGTCTCAGCCTCCATCCCCACGCGCTCCTGTCCTTTCTCTTTTAGGTTTTGGTGCCTGGGATCACATCTGCAGCCTGAGATGCAAATCGTTTAGACGAATGCAGGTGCCCTAATTATGACTACAGATATTCCTTGTGTCTGGCTAATTTTGTGTTCTCAGCAGTGCTTAGACTAATGCTCCAAAGTGCATTACTTTGGCAAAAGGCAGGTTGTGCTGCTTCTGATTCCTGTCACTTCTTTGGGGGTGGGGGCAGCCTTCTCGGAAATGCATGTTCCCAAAGTGTGGAAGTTAGAGGGTGAAAGGTTGATTCCAGTGGAAACTGTAGATGTGGATGCAGGGGAACTAATGAGGAAAAACAAAAATAACGGGTGTTTTGGGAGTAAAGATGTTAGGTGTTAATTGTGTAACAGGAAGTAGGGATGAAAGACTTTCTTTTTGTCTTTGCAATTAGTTTTTGGGATAGATATAGATCATTTTATGAAAGGAATTGTATGACTTGCCTAAATAGCTGGAAATGGACAGTAGTTTGGGACATTTTCTCTAGTTCTGTATTTGTAGCTTGCCTGCTTCCTTACGGTGTTATGATGAATTCATTGAAAGCCCTGAAATAGCAGCCTTTATTTGCCCTATAGCTTTATGTACCGCGTTATATTTTTAMTTCATAGGTGTGGGATGCTTGCTCGGAAGCCATGATCACCTTTGAGAAGGACAACTTGGATGACATGGGTTACATCGTGGAGAACGATGTCATTATGGCTGCGCTCACGAGGCAGCTGGATGCGGTAGCAGGTAACAGACAAGCTCTTTAATACTCAAGTTCCTGCAGAGCTTTCAGGCATTTGCCTTGCGCCAGTGCCAAGTTACAAGAGGAAGAAAGAAAGCCCGTGTAACAAGTACCCGAGAGCCAGGCAGCGTCTCCAATGGCGGGAGGGGGGATCTGTCCTGTGGCCCGTGAGCGTCTCCAGAGCATTGTTTCACAAAAGCAGAGAGGTAACAAAAAGACATGTAGTTCTGCATGCGGTGCAGTCTTTGCAGRGCTGTGAGGTTGGCCAGATTCATTTTTGCTGGATGTCCTGAAAATTGTTTTAGGCTGCTGTGAAGGCACACGTAGCCTTTGGCTGTGATATGCCCTTTATTTACGTCTGTATCGTGCTGTGACTGGTGCTCTGTGCTCCTTTCAGAGCGGGTGGAGGTCTTCTACCGGAGCAGAGCGGTGGGCTACACCTGGCCCCTTCCCCAGCACGGCTCTGACACGAGCCCCTGGGTCCAAATCGAGTTAGCTGATGGCCGCAGACTTCAGACCAAGCTGCTGGTAACTACATTGCCTATTTCTGGTGCTCAGGCATCATCTCTGGCCCAAGTCTTCTCCGCTGGGTTTGGTTCTGGTTCCGTTCCAGCCACRTGGAGAGCTTGAGCAGGGGGGCGAGTGGCTGCCTCTGTCAGGGGTGCCCAGAGACACACGGTGCGTCGTGTTCTCTGCAGCTGGTGCAAAAAGTTGCAGAGAACTGAATGGGACAAGAGCAGGAAGGGCCGTGTTTTCTGGGTTTGGAAGAGTCTTATTAATTTTTATTAAATAAATAAAAATATGTCTGTAGACAGTGAGGCCTGTGGGCTGGAATCCCAGCTTTCTTAGGAGCAGTGGGTGAAGCTGCCTTGTATCTGGGGTTGCAGATCGGTGCAGATGGCCATAACTCTGTGGTCCGGAAGGAAGCTGAAATTCAGAACATTGAGCATCAGTACGACCAGTCCGCTGTGGTGGCCACTCTTCACCTGTCTGAGGTGAGATTCTGCAAACTGGCYCTTTCCCAAGCAGTGCAACAGCTTAAAGAGGGGGCACCTACTCACTAGTTCTTACCTGTCTCCTTGTTCCTCCTGCTCTAGGCCACGGACAATAACGTAGCGTGGCAGAGGTTCCTTCCCACGGGGCCAATTGCACTTCTCCCGGTAAGTGACCTCTGCATTTTTACTTTTTAGTCCATTCCTTTCTAGTTACTTCGCTTCTATGTGTGCCTTGCTATGTTGGTTCTGTCTTTTAAGAGTTTGCCGTGTACTTTTCATGTATAACTTTTGATTTTGCTTCTGCCAACTCATTTTGTCCATGGTGTTTCCCAGTTGTAGCCACGTGGCTTGAAAAAGTAACGTGCAGGTGGATTGCTGTGGGAAGGGGATTGGGGAAGTTCTTGTGTTGGGTGGGGATTTTGTTTCCTTTTCTCTTGATCCTGACCCTTGAGGTTTTCTTAATTAGCTCTCTGACACTGCCAGCTCTCTGGTGTGGTCTACATCCCATGAGCATGCCTCACAACTGCTCGCTATGGATGAGGAACGTTTTGTGGACAGCATCAACTCTGCCTTTGTGAGTATCAGCCTTGCGGTAAATATGAGACYGACTTTGCTGCAAATACGAGAAATGTGATAGAATCCTACAGCTTAAAGAATTGCAGTGGGAGAGATGGATCTCATGTTCCTTCCTATGGAGMGGGTGGTTGGAAAGGCATTCAGTGAAGAAAGGATAATTCTTTATAACTGAACTAAGCCAGTTCCGCATGTCACAGCAGAAGACAGTATGTGCTCATACCTAGTTTTGTCTCAGTGGTTGAAATTCAGTATTTGGAGCTAGCTCAGATTCTTGTATATGTCCAGTTTAGGGGCAAAATCTAAAGCTTTATTTCTTTGGCTTCAGTGGAGCAACATAAACCACACAGATTTCATTGACGCTGCYGGGGCCATGTTTCGATCTGCTATTTCAGTCCTGAGGCCTTCGGGATCTGCGGTCCGCCAGCTGCCCCCCAGCGTAGCCAAGGTGGATCCCGAGAGCCGAGCCCTGTTCCCGCTTGGAGTGGGGCACGCGACGCAGTACGTCCAGCACCGCGTGGCCCTCATCGGGTAGGTCCCCCCGCAGCCTTTGCATGGGTGAGCGGTGCAGCTGTTAGTGGAGCATGTSTGGTGCTGCAGCCCCTGGCGTTTCTTTTCCCATTTAACACCTCAGGTGGTTAGAGAAACACTCCTGATTTCAGGCTGACATGCRACCCTGTGCCACGTGCTCCAGGTGTCCCTGTCCCTGCTGGAGCAGGGGAGTTGGGCTAGGTSATCTCTAGAGGTCCTTTTCAACCTTAAYCATTCTGTGCTTATCCAGGACTAGTTTGTATCATTTGCTTGTGTGAACAAAGTCCTGTTGTCTGAGTAGCTACCATTCCCTTGCGTGCTATTGATGTAAACTGGGAGATAATAATCTTCCTTTTCTGGSTGGTTCAGTCCAGCAGAATAATCACTACCTCATGATGAAGCTTTACTTCCCCAAACAATGTGGCAGCCGTTTGCTGTACCGGGTAGAGGTTTCACATTTCTTGAGCACAAAGGACAAAATTTACAGATTGTTCCTGATGGGATGTCATAGGCTCTTGTGCAGTAGTCTACAGAGAGGAAAATAGCTCATCTTTTTCATTCTTCATTGCTTTCAACTGAGATGCCACATTGTTAGCCTCTGCTTCATGCCTTGGTAATGGATAAGAGCACATTCTTACATTTCATGCCCACATTTCAGCTTGTTTCTTTAATTTGGAATCCCTCATCAGTGAGTCTGGCCTTGTCCTTTGCAGATCAGCCTGCACGTGACAGAGTCTTTCCCTCAATGCCTCGGTTCTCACTCGTGTTGGTGGTGGCCGCTCACTTGTGTTTATAAAATAGGCTTGTGACGTTCTTGTGGTGGCAGTGTCAGTTACAAAAATACCAAGGCCTGTCCCATGCCTGATCTGGCTTTCTGCAAATAGAGCAAGTCAGAACCAGTTCAATGCGCAGGTGCTGGAGACAGCGCTGGAAGGTGCAGCTCGTTGCAGAGGTGGGAAGTGCTCTACCCATCCCCTCTGGAGCTTGTCAGCCAAGGAAATTGGGGATGTTTTGGCTTTCTTCCAGAAGGGATATAACTTTCTCCTCTCTTGCTCTAGGGATGCAGCACACAGAGTCCACCCACTTGCAGGACAAGGTGTAAACCTGGGCTTTGGTGACGTGTCGTGTTTAGCGCAGCACCTCAGCGCAGCAGCCTTTGACGGCCAAGACCTGGGTAAGGATCCAAGGCAAGCGAGCAGCACTGAGATCCTTAGGATTGTTCGTCTCCCAGGCATTTGCTGCTGGCATCAGGGCGAACTTGTTGGTGTCTGAACCGTATGGAGTCCCTTGTGCTTGACTTGCACGAGCACCCCAGAAGCAAAACTGTTCCCATCTCCATTTGGCTGTGAACACTTAGATYGTTGCCTGCAGTTTCCACCCCCAAAATCTCAAAGCTGCTAAAAAAGAAACAGTTCTGCTAGGTGATAAAGAGATGAAATGAAGATGAGCTGAGTGACATCTTTATTAAGATGAACCTTATCTATTCTGTATGTTTCAGATGTCTGTGGAGGCTGCGATATAGATAAGGAGCACTGTTTGTGGCAGTTTAATTTCAGTAGGGGCACGTGTCTTTTCCAGGCTCCTTGAAACATCTGTTGAAGTTTGAGACCGCGCGACAGAGGCACAACCTCTCCTTGCTGGCCGCTACTGAYGCGCTGAAGAGGCTCTACTCCACCAGGCTGGCGCCCGTGGTGCTGCTGAGGACGTGGGGACTGCAAGCCACAAACGCCCTGCCACCGCTCAAGGTAGGAGTCTGACCTTGGTGAGGGCTGTGCAAAAAATTCCACATTACACTTTAAATCAGCACAAATGGATGAGGGTGGTTTTTTTTTTTTTGCTTTTACTGAAACATTTTGGTTGGAGAATGTTGGCTTGTTTAAAGTGAGGTTTTGTGTCTAGAATGAGCCTAAGGAGCTCCTGAATAACCCATGGCTCAGTTGTTGGGGGTTTCTGGTGCAGTGCAGGGACAGGCTTGGGGTCAGAGCGTMTGTTCTCTGCATCCTGCCTGACAGTGATTTTTCTTTTTACCTGTCCTCTTTCTGCCTGGCAAGGCGTTGATTTGTATGCTGTAGAAACACTTCAGCAGGAGAAAGGGAGGGAGCCTTACTGCATTAATTGGTGCTCACGAAGAACAGGGACTAGAGATGGGCTGTTCACCTCTGTCCACATTAAGGCAAACTTCAGTTGTCTTAGGGAGAGGTCATTTCACATTAGAAGTGACAATTTGGATCCTTGATGTGCATTCCAGAAATACAGTTCTATGAAAAAGCAATGCTGTGGAAAACAGTGAAGACCAAGCTCGGAGCTAGCGTGCAGCAACACTCACCATCTGCTTCTCTGTTATTTGTCCTGCTAAATTGTTCTCTGTGGCTGAAGYGTGAGTCTCGTGAAGGTTTCCAGTGGAAAGGCTTGGCAAGGAAGTTCAATCATAAACACAAGTCCTCTTTTTTTTCCTGTTTGTAGCGTTGCTGCCTAATTTCCACACAGCTTTGACCTAATTGCTGTGATTCTACAATATTCATTAAGCCACCTGCTCTCGGAACATGTAGGTACCCTCAAGCAAGACTCCTCAGTCCTGGTCTGCCTTTTATTCCCCCAGTCAGGTATCACTTGTATTAGATGCAGCCGGTACGTTGTCTGGGAGTCGTGCCACAGTGACACAAGGTGAATGGAAGAGCAGTCTTTTCCTCAGAGCTCAGTAGCTACCCCTCAAAAGGGGGCTGGCACTAAAGGAGAGCAGTACGTGGCTGCTGCAGTGCTCTGGGCTTATTTTCTGTTTCTTTGTTCAAAGCAGAAACTGGTGTGAGCACCGAGCCTGGCAGCAACCCTGGATTTGTGCTKCTCAGGAAAGAGAAAGGAATGCTGTGACTCTTCCCTCGTATAGAGGGAGAGTTGCTCTGTCTGCACTTGACTAAAAAGGCTGAGAAAGAAGTGTTGTCCATAGGGGAAAGGGACTATAGCTACTTTCTAGAGCATATGTTTATTATCAATTTATATTTTTTTCTCTCCTCTTTTTAGGAGCAAATCATGGCTTTTGCCAGTAAGTGATCTCTTGTCACTTTGGAACTGCAGTTTGTCAGTGAATGCATYGCCTCTACAAGGACTATGGCCAACTTCATTCTTTGGAAGGTGTTATTTTGATTTAACAATAAAAGTGAGGATTGAGCTGTGTTTTGCACCCTCCATGGCTTATACAGAATTTCTGTCTCCACGGCTTGCTCTTCTCAAGAGGATGTGGCTTCTCTTCCTAGGGTACCACAGCATCTTCAGCTACGGAACTATCTTTACRGGTGCTTCTAACTTGGGCCTTTTGCAGTGAAGAGTGAAGTGGAAAGAGCAGTTTGTCTCATCTCTTAATGGGTGCAGTGCTGAGTGGGATCTTTCTAGTGCTGCAGTGCCAGCTGCAACCTGGGCTGCTTGGCCACGTTCAGTGTTCCCCACCACGATGGCTGAGGCTGTTAAAGTCGCTGCTCTGTTCTTAACCACTTCCTGGACTCAAAAACGAGGGACAATTTATAGCAGAAGAGTGTCAACTCAAGACATTTCTTAAAAAAATATATAAATTTTATAAAATAATTAAAAATATTATATATACAGGAAACAACAGACATATATATATATATTAAAAAAATCTGTCTCTTGTTTCTTGTACCCTCCTCCCTCCCCCATTCTTGGTACTTTATTTAATAAAGGGTGTTTCTTGTGGGTTCTCCCAGCCCAGGAAAGAGAGGCAAGCCAACAGCAACATTAGGAAAGAAAACTTAACGCAGCTTGAGTATTGTTAAAAATGCTTTAATTACTAAAATAGACATTCAAGATATTCTGTCTTAGGCTTCAAACACCAGCCTTCTGTGCTAGACATTCGATTTGCACAACTTTTAAGTAATGCTACTGMGTATAACTTAGGTGAAGAGCTAGCCCATTATCAGGAATTAACATTACAAAGAAGAATTAAATAGGAGATGGGGACTGAAAGCCTTTGTTGTGTTTGCTCAGTCACTGACATTAAGAAGTCCCTGTTAGTGACCAGCTAAAAGACATTATGAAAAAGAAGATTAAGGGGGAAAAAAAAAAAAAGCAGGTAGAACTCTTCTCTTACAGAGCTGCTTAGCCTTTAGTTAAGCTAATAAATAATCTCATTGCACTAGGTAAGTGTGAGGATTTGACTGGCTTCTTTAGCTCCTCAAACCAGTAATGCGGATGTAAACAGCAGGGGCTCAGTTCTACAGCTGCTTGCAAAAGAAACCTTCAAGTTGAGTTTTTGTYTCTCTAACTGCAGATCAGGCCCCTGAGTGAGAGCAGCAGTTTTGCTGTAGTGAGCGAATGTGCCGCTGACACACRAAGGCCCTGAGCACTCACATTTAATGCAACAGGTACAGGAAAGCAGATGCTCCCACCCAGCATCCCATCCAGATGCTCCCTGGATTTGCAATCCCAGAGTGTGAAAAGAACACAGAAAAGGAACTTACTCTGCATGTCTTGGTCTAGTCCCTCCTCCCGTCCACCAAAACCAAACTGTTAAGTATTCCTCAGGGCTCGTGTAGAGGCAGGTGCACTTCTGCTGCACGTCCCTTGCACCCGGCCTTTCCTGCCCGTTTCAGCTGCACCTCGCGCTGCGTGGGTATTAACCCCCACCACGAAGCAAGAGAAGGTGTCACAGCACTGGTTCAGGCTGAAAGGCTTTTGGATTATTGAGTTTGCCAGTCCTCAGGAGTGACAGAGCTTGGCTGTCAACTACTGCATCCTACCTGTACTCTCTGAAAAAAACCCTCAACCAACGTAATTGCCCATGTGGGGATAAGATGAATATCCTGGCTGGAACCTTGTTGTGCAGACCAGACCATATACTAAATTTTGCCAAATAGCAGGCAGAGCAATGGGAAAGCTTGTGGATGCAAAGAGGGCAGCCTCCAGAACTGCCACCTTCAGGTGTGTAAATAGAAGCTCCTAGAGAGGAAGGCGGAAGTTTGGAGAGACACAGAGGCAATTACCAGCATGAACCTCAAGCCAGCCTCAGGGAAGGAAGAAGAAAGGTTGGATGCTCATTTAGTATTTCAAAGAAACAACCTGAATTTGCAGCAAGATGCCAGCGGTGGGACAAGTGCAGATAGCTGCATCCCCTCCCCTTGACATCCTCTTGCTGACTGAACTTCAAAAAACACATGCTGCCCTTTATAAAAAAAGAAAAATATGAGAAAGGGTAGTATAATAAATTACATTAAAAATTGCACTGCTTCCTCCAAGAAATGGACTAGCGCTTACACTAAGGCAACTTCTAAGTCTTCCAATTGCTTGGCAAGATGGCTTAGGGCATGRGTCCCCTATTTCCTCTCCTTGCTGGGAATCCTCCATTGTTTTTAAATCCAGCTTGCCGAAAAGCTAGTGATTGGGTAGCCTTGAATTTCACAGAAGTGAGAAAGGTGCCTTACGGGGTACAGATTAGTGCAAATGCCTAAAMGGAGTAACATGTTCGTTGCAAGACATCTGTGAATTAAAGCTTCCCTTGGTCACAGGCAGCAACAACTTCAGCTCTCTCAAGATTGGGGCAAATTAATCTTTTAGTTGTATATTTCATGGTTAGTAGAAGTTATTTTTTTTTATTCCATAGAAGCAAGCTGCTGAGCTAGCTGCCAGCTATTTCATGGAGTAAAACAGTTGTCCTGACTAGGAACGTTTGTTGAGAAAACAGATTTGGAGGCTCAAAGATTTTTAGAGATCTTGCTGCTCTCCACAGCGAATCAGACAAAAATCAGAATCCTAGCTGCCAAGATGCTTTATTTAAAAGGCTCTTMTCCCACTGCTTTATTTTTCTTAAGCTTCAAAACAGATGGAAAAAGTCACTTTAAAATGTTACTCAAATAGTTTCATCCTATCCTGCCAGAAAGCCTGGGCTTGAGCAAGAGAGCTGAACAGCTGCAACCCCTTCCTCGGATGCCCTGTTCTGCAGCCCTGCTGTATATAACAAAAGTAGGTACATACAGGCTGCTGTGCACGTTCCGGTCAGGATTCCCCCACACACTGTCACCCAGTGTCGTTATGGGTCCACTTCTGCTATGTTSAAGGGAGAAAGAGTTTAAAACCAGTTAACTCTACAAATTAAAACAGACTAAGGGTCTAACGTTTCCAACATTAATGTGAAGAGAACAGCTATTTCTGGTTTTGCTCTCCTTTGCTGTTTTTATCCATCTCACTCCCTCATCTATTAAGCAAGTGAAAATATGTTCTCTTTCAGCACAGCTGTGTATCCCAAAGGGAGAGGAGGAAGGGATGAGGCCAGGCTTCTCGAGGGGAAAAGAACAGCTCAGAGTATATTCAGGCCCAGTGGCTGCAGTGTTTTTACCCCCAGGTTAAACCCCCCCTTCCCCTTAGCTGGTCCTGCCCTTGGCCCTTCCCTGATTGCAGTTAATTTGAGTTACTGCACTAGAGGGCCCCGGGAGCACCCGACTCACAGGAAAGGAGGCTGGGAGCACCTTGCTACGAAGAGAGAAACAGAACCGGGTATAAATGTGACGAGCATTTCTTTGGCAACACAGTTTACACAGCTGGCAGTTCTCTCTTGTGCCAGYACAACTGTTTGTTTTCAGGACATGGGAAATGGGTCCAGGTACCAGCTCTGTGGCCAGGTGTGGCYGCTCAGTTTCCTGCAGTTAATGGGCAGCACAAAGGTGGGAACTAAAACAGCAGGAACCCACATTCTGCTCAAGACACTGCTGCTGCCTGAATAAATGCTGAAGTTCCCCGACACCTTTCCCAAATCCATGTCCAAGGAGTGCTTATAGATGAGTCCTTCGAAGTCTGGTACCATCCTGCAATGTGTAAGCTAAGCTAACAGCCARGAACTTGGAGCTCTAAGGCTGGCAGGACCCAGGGAAGCTCACTTTGAATGACTGTTGATACCCTCTTTAATTTCTATGTTTAAGGTTTCATGATCAAATTTCAGTTCCGTGTCTTTAAAACAAAAGGGAGAGGGAGAGAAATGAAGTGTGTCTAGCCTGCAACCGCGTGCCTGGCACCGTGTGCTTCTAGCAATGGGCTGCCTGCTCAGACGTGCTTGTGAAAGCCATCTCAGGCCCCGTGCATACAATCAACTTCAAGACCCTCGGAGAGAGTTCAGGCCTTCCGACTTTCAGAAGGCAGCTTCTGCATCACTTATGGCAATCAGAGTTACAAATCATACCGTGGCAGCTCTCATTGTGCAAGATGCCAATCCTGGATGAAGATCTGTTCTACACCTTTGGTCCATATTCTAATCTATGACTGACTCCAGCTAGGCAATGTACCTGGGGATTTCCATTTGCTTTCTCAGCCTTTCGGAAGTGGCAAAGTCCACAGGAGCGTCACGGCTCAGTAGGTTAACCCCAGAGACTGCAGCAGGTGAAAAGTAGCACCCAAAGTCCAGCTGGTTTCTATGTTGTTCACTTTCTTTGTTAACTATAAGTGAAGAAAAGTGAGTCAGTCATTCCCAGCAGTTCTCTGGATCCACAGCTTGCCACAGATCACAGCAATTACATGCAACAACCTTGAAAAACCTCGGTAGCTACTTAGCCTGAAAAATGAACTAGAGCACCTTGGTTCATTGGGGTTTAAGTGTCTTACCTGCAGGAGCGTGCTGTCCCTAAATCCAAAGCCTTCCTTTAGTAAAGCAGTGATGTAAGTGAGATCCATGCACAGGAAAGGACTGGCTGAGCTGAACCTCTCCATGTTATCACAGACTAGAAAAAAATAAAAACAAAACAAAAACACACAAAAAAGTAAAAACCTCAGCAAAATAAAGGAACTTTTGTCTAAATTACAAGCTCAGCTCTGAACRACATAACTAAGTATATTCTGATGACAAACACGGTTTACAAAATCATCATCAGGATTTATCAGTCTTCAAAGGCAGAGACTGCTCTTTAAGCTAAGGTTGTAGCTATCAGGTGCACAGCATTCAATTCTGGATAGATAACTTTAAAAACCCCACTAACTCCATAAATACTAAATTCAAGTTCCAGGAAGATGGAGGYTCTTCTTTTCCCAGGAGAAGGTACAAAATTAGAACAAACATTTAGAAAACGAATGCCAGAGGCAGGTAAGGAAGGGAATGCAGAAGCCATTCTTAAAGAACTTATATTCCTTTTTTCTCTCTCCATTTAGTTAGGGATCAAAAATAACGTAAAGAGACAAAATCTAAGTTTAACAAAAGTCACTGTTCTAAATTCAGAGATTCTCAGTTTGACAGATAATTTTCTGTATTATAATCATGGTTAAGTGCATAATTATCAGCACAAAGGAAACTGAAATTCCTTTCCTTCYTGAATAGAAATGCAAAGTATCTAACACTTGTTTCCCTCACTGTTCTTCAATACTGTCTCCTACAGTTACAGATGTTGTCCAGATGTTGTTGAGTGGTGACAGGGCAGGGACATACAGGGACATTACCTTCTTTGGCTTTTCTTTCAAAATCTCTCACTTCCAGAACTCCTCCTTCTTCGTAATCTAAAAGAGAAGAGGTGAGGAAAACACCATCATAAACCTGAAAGCATCAGAGTTCTAAATTTTAAATTGATCCTGGAATATAACCAGTGAGGGTGGGAGGTCTGACAGTTTCAGATGACAGAACAACAAGTATAACTGGAGCTCGGAGTACACTGCTGAGCCCTGAGCCACAATCTGCACTCATGGATACACATCCTTCTCCTGAAGGTGTCTCGGACATTTCCTCATCTGAACACCTTCCCTCTTCCTGGATCCATTCCCATGGATCCAGTCTCCAGGGTTGCTTCATCTACCTTCAGGTAGATGTGCTCACATACAGTAGATGACCCCAAGCCCATTTACCAATCAGGTTGGTGTCAACAGCTCGATCGTAGTAATAGGAGAAGGCATAGAAGGAGCTTCCCCGAATCTCATCTGGTTGGTGCAGTTTCCCTTTGATGATCTTCAGTACTTCCAGGTAGCAAGGCTTGAATCCCGTTTCTCCTACCAGTTCAAACACAGACAGGGATAAATCAAACAGGGTAAGCCAAAAAAGTCATCAAGAAGAATCAGTGACAACAGCATTAAAAACAAAGAAGCAGAAATTAAGGAATCAGAAGAGGTGAAAAGAGCTTAGGTTTCCTCTTACATGCAATAAGGACCCTGTATCACTATCATTATGTGGTACCAGAGCAGATCACAGTAAGAGCTGAAAGGTGCAGTGAGCAGACCAGTGCAGGTGAGCAACAAAGCTCCCTCCATATAAGGCAAGGCTCCCACTGATAAATTTTGTGGTCAACAGTACTTCATTTTTATTTACTATTACCTACTAGATAAAACTTTACTTTCCACGCCCCTCATATTGTAATTTTACAATCCACTCCACACGTGTAATCTGCGGCTCAGCTCTCATGTTCTCCATTATAAAGCAAAGCAATTTCAGTAACCAAAGGGGTCTGTTCTAGTCGCTTATGGTAGCAATTTCATATTCTGTATGCAGCATTAAGGACAGCAAGAGGTTAAGAAATAGTTCCTCAAATGAGAAACACTTTGGCTCCCCAGTTAGGGTACCCGAACTGAGCCTCAGAAAGGGCTATTCTACTTGCACAAGTAACCGACACTTCCTATAAAGAAAGCACTTGCAGCAAGTGATCACAGGCAGCGCAAGCAGCTATTTTTATCATTCCAGATTTTGTTTTGGTTCTGTCAAAAGAATTCCACATTGAAGTCCATATGTATGACTGAACAGGCAGCCTTCATAATCCAAAGCAACTGTGGGGTGTTTGCAAAGCCTCTGGAGATGAGACTTGTCTTGAAAGGAGCACCAAGCCTCCCTAGCTCACCTTCTTTGTTGCCACCATACCGGTACTTCACTCCTCCAAAGTGCCACTCTGCCTCCAGCTGCTTTGGCAAACAGGAACTGCGGAACATCTGTCCATCTACAGCTGGAATTAGACCAGAAGGGAGAAAGAATCAAGTTTAGCATAACTGCTAATTGAACTGTTGATCAATATCCAGAATGAGGGTAGAACAGGCTCAAAGCCTTCACTCAGCTCTTGAAGCAAAAGTTAAGGAAATCTAAACTGATGAATACCAATTAATGGATTAAGCAGCAGTCTCAGCCTAGAAAAGTGGCACCCTCTCTATCTTGCAAGTTGCAGAGCAGTAGGACTTGTAATTTGCTAATCAGTTTATCGGAAACAGATATCTGGCTAGTTGCTGTTCCATAGAGAAGACAAAAAAATAGTTATAAATTGAACACCCAAATACACAAACCCTAAAAAAACAGCAGATGACTGAGACAGCAAAGACCAAAACTCCTCCAAGGCCAATATAGGCACCATTAAGTGCAACCTTTCTGATTCAACCACAAGTTTTGTAACAAAGAAGAAAACACAATTACAAGGGCCAGCACAGGCCTGAAGAAAGGCTCCTTGGTAATGTTGGAGGAGGACTGTGCAAGGGTGCAAAGTTTGCTATGGGATGTTTAGCAGAAGGATCAAAGATASAAAAAGGGAGGGATCAAAATACATCAGGGAGGAGCATGCGCGGCAAAATGCAGAGGAAGGAGAAATAAAGAGGCCAACTGCATATAAGCCAGTTGCTGGTTAGTAATTCTTCTCAGCCTGAGGTCTGTGCCTTATRAGCGCAGTCTGTCCTATCTTCTTGTAAAAAACCCTTGTCCCCAGAGATGGGACAAGTCACCCAGGGCCTGGGCACGGGTGCTGGAAATAGTTAAGTTCTGGAACAGAAATTGTSAAGATCTGTGAACATGAGGGTGCATGTCAGCCGAGCGAGTGATACACTAGTGAACATCAAGCCAGATGAGGCAGGAACAGAAACAACAGGAAGCCTGAGAGGGCCCACAGGACCAGCCAGACACCTGAGAGCTGCAAAGGAGGCTCTCCCCTACGCAGCCCTCCTTAGGAGCAGGATCTATTCCTGCTGCCTGTGTTTATGCGGACGCCGCTGAGCTGTGCGAGCGCCGGGCGCTGGCCACGCTGGGGTACTCAGGCACGTGCAGCTTGGAGACTGTGCTCAGTCTCACTGCTGGCCAGACCTGGAAACAGGGAAAATATGTGGGAGGCCCCCGAGGAGGGAGGAATCCCTTAGCTCCTATAATCCACTGCATTCTGCTGTCCTTATCAAGTGGTAGTCTGAGTTTCTGGACGGGTCTCTATTAAGGAAAACAGGAAAGCATGAAGCACAGATGTGGAGTGACTAGAAATGAGCTGTTGCATAGTTTAAGTGTCTTCATCTCTTCAAAAATCTTCAATGTTTTATCATTTTAACATACCTTTTGAATCCAAAGCTCCAAGTGTTGCTAGTCTGGCAGCTTTTAGTCCAAAACCCAARTAACTGCAAACAACAAAATTTTTATTTTGTTTTAGTTCTTGTGTATCTACTGAGCTTTATCCATAGCTTTTTCTTAAATTGYAGAACACCAAAATCAAATTCCTTTTCTCTGCTTTGTACCAATCTCCCTTTTCTATTTTATAGTTTCTTTTGCCAGAATAATTCTAAGTACAAAAAGAACAACCCAAACCCAAGACTTACACAGTACATTAAATGCGTAAATATGAAACTGCGGAAGGAGGTTAGAGGTGGTGTGACATCTACAAAGCTTTGCTTGGAAAGTAGAAAAAGCACAAGTAGTTTTAAATACAAGGGAGGAARAAAGGCATGTGAGGAGCACATGGAGGATGGGATGCCCACTTCTACATGACACAAACCACACTACGTGGTCTTAAGGCAAAACTTAGTAGAACTGGAGAACCTCCTATTAAATGTGTGCATGTGTTGAGATGGGGGGGCTGAACCTTCCTCATGAATTTACCTACAGCTTAACAGCACACTCCTGTGCTCACTATGAGATAGGACTGTTAACAAAACCTATAAGGAAGCCATTACAGGACTGGTAAAAACCACTTGGATATTCACCTCCGGGTCTGTATTCTGCAAGTAAAAACTCTGGATATCGCTGTAGACCTCTCACATACTTGTTAGCTTAGCTAAACAAGCAAAATTATATCAGTGCCTAGCAAATACCCCCCAGACTAGTTCAATAATCTGTTGTGCTCCACAGTCCGTATTAGTTGCAGATTTATTTCTTGTTTTTAATTGCTCTGGATTTTTTTTTTTTTTTTTTAATCTCAGTTGTCTATGAGATTGGACACTTGGAACTAAGAACGAGAGAGGAGAAAAGTCTCAAGCCCTCTTCTCAAATCTCTGACTACGTTTAGTTCTGACTGCTGGGCATGATACCCACCCTTCTGCTTGCTCTGTAAAATATGGCCCAAAGCCAACAACAAAAATACCTCCCCTTAGACATAATGAATTGAAAGCTTCCTCTTGGTTTGACCAACAGAGCAGTGTTCCCTGTGATATTAACAGTGATCCCAGAACTTTGGCAGTCAACTAATGCCATATTCCAGGTCAGCTGTTTCAAGGAGATAAGAAACACAGTTTAAAAAGTTGTGGTCTCAACAGCTGGCAACAGGATGACACAGCACATTTGTGGTTATCTCACAGGCTGCAGAAATATTAATTTTCCTGCGAGGAAATTCCACCTTTTGCCTCTTACCTGTGGGTATAGAGCTTGTAGGTGCTATTAAACATTTCRAATGAGGTAAGAAAATCCCCAGGAGTTTGCTTCAAGGTTTCCTATAAATAAATAAATTAATTAATTAATTTGAGGATCCATTGAAAAAAAAGACACTTTGATGTAATATCACAGATATACAGGGTTAATTGCACATTCATCTGATCCGCTTGGAGCAAAAATGACATTTTTTTCCATCACCACTTAAGTATTTTGCAAAACATTTACCAGAATTTATCTATATGCATCTTTCTGTTACTGTATTATATAACAAARAACTGAAACAAAGATCAAGGTGAAGATATCTTGTAATTGAGGATACCTGAATTTTTCAGAGTGCTTCTGTGCTACTCCACATTTACACAGAGCCCCCACTGAAGTCAGCTGTGCTATGAGCACTATGAACATCTGCAGATCAGACTAAAGGTCTTATTTCAGGAACTTGGAAGAATCACAAATGCAAGGCAAACTTTAAGCCAGGTTCTCCCCTGGTTATACTTAACTTTAAACTGACTAGTCAGATACTCAAAGAAAGACTCTGACCATTCATTCCCAATCTCAGGGCTGCTTTACCTTCTGATTAAATGAGGATTCTCTAAACCACCCTCTCATTTCACCATTTCCAGCCTTCTTCCTTTCACATCCTTCTCTCTGTGTCCGTCTCTGCCACCCTGCTAGCCAGCTCTATCTTCTTGCCAGGCTAACACTCATTCCCTCATCAACTTCAAGCAGTTTGGGGTTCATTGACTGTTTTTTTGTTCCCAGTCCCAGTCCCAGTTCCTAGTAGGTCTCAATCACCATTTCCATCTTTTCTCTGCTAGTGACCTAACTGTACTCTCCCATCCTGGCCCTGTGTTTCCACATCCAACACTCATCTGCTACGATTCCTAGGCAAAACAGCACAATTTTGGGGAGCACGAAAGCTGCAGGCTCCCGTTCTAGTAACCAGGTACAGCAAAACACAGGCCTGGAATCACACAGCCCTTAACAAATGCTTGCTCAAAACAGGAAGAGATTTGGCTGTACTTAGCTTAAGTCTCTCTTGAACAATAACTGCAATTTGGGTTGGGCTTTGGGTAGATTTTCATAGGAAGGCTGGTCACACTCTTGTCCCCTCCCCCCACCCTCCTGCCCTCAGCCCCTGCCAAATCTCAAGCCTTGTTCCTAAGCCTCAGATCACAACTGCTTTCAAAAAGGAAAGGTCCTGAGAAGGTTTTTTTATTGCTCAGACAAATAATTTTTTTCATGCCTTCCTTTCATGAAAATGAGCAGGGAAAACACAACTAAGGCCGGAGTCAGACAATTTTATGATTATAGTTCTAGTTTCATTTCTTAAAACTTTGTTAATATGACTATAAAAAAAAAAAAAAGCATAAGACTAGCTTAATAACAGTTTCAAGCAGTTCTCATTATGTGTCCCATCTGCTTCGAATCTGTATGTAGTATTTTGTTTAAAAAGACGACAAGAGCTAAAATGCAACTGGTTCAAAACAACAAGATTTTTTTTTGCAGATCAATGGAGGAAATCCTCACCAATTCTGAGCTTTTGACCTTTTTACCCTTCAAAAATACGCTGAGCTGCACAGGCCCTTTCTCGGGTGCGCCCGTTAGAAGCAGGCATGGCGCGCAGGCCGCCGCACGGCCCTTTGCTCCACGCCGCTCTACTGATCTGCATCACTGGTCGTGGTCTCCCAGAAACCTCCCAGGCTGCTTCCTGCAAAGCTCCTGGAGGAATGTGAATCCTGAGCTGCAGCCCGGACCCTTCACAGCTCTATTTATTCTCCAAGGCCTGACACACAACACGCCTTCCCGCTGGTCCAGTGCCCACTCCGGCAGGTGTTACCAACACAAAGCAGAGGGCAGTCCTTGAGCTGCCCTCAACAGGATAAGGTTGCATGTCATGTTTTAACATGACCTACCCTTGCAAAATTTAAATATTCCAATACGAAAAATATGCATTTTGTGGTTCACAAACACTATTCAAGACATTACAGTTCCTGTAAACAAAATTTGTTAAAGAAAGGAGACATTCAGGAAATGCAAAAGGGACACAGACAACTTCATAGATCACATCAAGGTACAGAATAATACAGTGTGCTGTTCAGCATCCATGTGATTTTCCTATGCACACTTCAGGCTTGTGTCTAGGCTCAAACTAATCCTAAAGGGTTACGGAGCTTGTGACAAATCCAGCAGAGATGAAACTAGGGGGCAGAGTGGGGATTTATCATAGGACATGAAAAGAAAGTGAGAAAACAGATTCTGCACATGCTACTATAGAGACAATTGTTCCATGAGAGCCTCCCCACCAACATTTAGTGAAGGGCAGATACCAGGCTTGGGTGGGGACAAAGGCAGAACCCAAAACTGATCTTATGTTTCTAGTAATATCCAAGCATACTCGCTGGCAGTGTTCTCCATTTTCTGCATACTAAAATGTGTATCCACATTAACAGGGCTTTCCTTGTCTAGGTCTAAACATCCTTCCCCCCCTTCCTCAGGCTCTGTGTGCGAGAAGTCCTGGCCATCACAGGTGCTCTGCTTGGGCCAGCAGTGACAAACGAGAGCGCAGCCCGTGCCCACAGGCCTGGCAGCCCCAGCCCACACACTCACATCTCCTCCTCACCTCAAACCGCGGCAGGAATGTGATTTGGGTTGAGGCTCCTCCCAAGTCCAGAGTCCCAACAGTGTGCTGGTTCTGGCCCGACAGCTGCCCTGCAAACCACATCATGCTCAGAACAGCCTCAAGTGATCGAACGCTAACATGGAGACTGCATGCAGAGCTTGGCGACCAACAAGACGTTCCCAGCRGGACAATGAAGGAGGCTGAAGTGGCCTTTAAAGGCCCCAAAGAAAGAAAAATACAATACACAAAGGCTGTGCCCTGGGATGCACACAAAAATAAAATCCGCATAGAACAGAAGAAARTGGCAAAGGGTTAAGGAAAAAAAAGAAGGAAAAAAAAGTGAGAGATTCACAGGACCTGCCTCTTTGCTACCAGCTTTACCTCTTCAGAGACAAAGGCACATAAGCCTCTAGGTACCCAGCAAAAGAAAGGTAAAGAAACAAGGCATCTCCATAAAATCTGTAACCACCATGCTGCTGAGCAAGAGCAGTAGGAAAAGAGCAGCAGGGAGAGCAGAAGCAGCTATTTATCATTTTCTCTTCAGCCAGAGCAGCTTTATTTCCCTTGTTCCGTCCAGAGCACGGACTTTTTCTCTTCCTTGTGCTGGACTGCATTCTTGAAACTCGGGGCCAGCAGAGTTGAAGTACCAGCACATGCCCTCTTATTTTGTTGCTCAGTTTCCGCTGGGACGAGGCGCACCTTCCTGTCTCCCACGTTCTAACAGATCAGCAGCACCACTAGGCCAACGAACTGCAGAAACCAGTTGTCAGAGCAGCTCTGCCTCCCAGTCCTGAAGCATCTGGATCCAAACTCCTGCTTCTTCCTACAGATGTGGCCCAGCCTCAAAGACCTGCTCTGCCCCAGAGAATCTACTGCATTAGCCTTGTTGCCAGCRTGAGCAGGAAAGGGAATGCACAGCAAGCAAAGCAGAGGAACTTAGGGCAACCACTTTTGAAGGCGAGAATTGGATCACACTTAGCGGGCAGTTACACAGAATTAACTACCTGTCAGAAAGTTCACAGTGATCCAGGCTAAAATTCCTGCAAAAAGTGAAAAAAAGAAGAAATAAAGTCACCACCAAACACCACCACAGCCTCTTCTCCATTCTCACCTCGTCCCCTGATTTATTTACCTGTAAGCCACAAATAAGGCAATATAATTGCACATGCTTCATAAATTAATTCAAGCGCATAGTTAAATTATATGAGCCATTATTGACTTGTTAAAAGCTGATARACWGWSMMARKTSAMYTKKSWCWGTYTATGYAACTGCAACATGCACAAAAATCAGTTCTAAAATCCAACAGTATACAAAGAAGTAAYGAGCACAGTTTTCCTTTGGCATCTGTTTTTCATCATTTCCATTCCTAATCTCAAAATTGCATCCATGCTTCTCTGAGTTTTCATGTTGCAGTTTGTGTAGCTACACTAAGAACACAGCGGCAGACAGTGAAACTCRAACAGCTCTTCTTTGCCCCCGTGACTTGCTTTATGCTGGCATGATCAGCATCCAAATGTCGGGGAACAAGCAGCAGCAGCAGAGACTCTATTGTTAAATATATCTCGGCAGGTTACACTGTGCCCTGTTATGCCTCACTGCTCCTGCTACCTGTCAACACAGCACTCCTGCCCGCTTCACAATTCACCTGTTAATCCTAATGAAATACTATGCATTGCAGAGTGCTCCACCAMATACTGGTAGACTTCATGTTTCTCTTCCTTTTCTCTTGGTTCATAGAGCTAGATTTGGCTCTTCCATCTTTCTTTACTCCATGTAGTAGTACTTTAAGCTTCCTGATATCTTTTTTTTTTTCCCTCTTACTGTGCACCCTCTAAATTGTCAGTATACCCACGGTAACAAATTGTTACAGATGGTGCCATCACAGATAGCTCTTATCAGAGCCATATGGAAGGATTATTACCTGCCTATTCCCTAACGTAAAATTTCTGGGTATGCAGTCAAAAACGTTAAACTGCAAATAAATCACCATTCACTCCCGTCCTGCACTATATTTCAACTTTYGCTTCTTATTTCAGGTTACTTTACTAGCTGCATTTTCTCCAAGCTTTTTTTAATTACCTGCCTAGCTTTATATTTCTTTAATACTTGCCAATGATCCCATTCCTTGTTTAAGGTAAGAACCTTCAAGCTTACCTAAAAACTGATGAGCTAAGCATAACTATTTGTTAAACTATGCTATCTTTGTAGAACTTACTAAGCACTTCTCATAAGCCTCCCAGCTTGCTGTAAAACAGTGCCTTTCAGAGGTGAGCTACTACAACACTATCTTTATTTCCAGCAGGGTCCCCAAACATGCTTTAACTGTTTAACCTGCATAGTTTTTTTCTAAAACAGCCAGAAATGAGGTTCTTTTCTGGCCCGAGGCTCTACCTTTTGGATGATAACGTATCATTTAACTGACTCAAACCACTTTTTTATATCTGTATTTATAGTCTAACGAACAATCAAATAATCAGAATCTTCCTTTCACTTTTTCCTCCTTCTGAAACCCACCTTCATATGATCCATCCAAGATGCTCACACTGTCCTCTGGAACAAGAAATGGTGATTCCTCAAAGACTTCTCTCACCTGAAGAAAGAAAAGAAAAAAAAAGAAAAAAAAGAAAGGAGTCTTTAGTCTTAGAGCCTTGTTTTGCTCTATGGTGGCAGAGGAAGTTTTCCTTTTCATAGCAGAAGGAAAGGAGACAAGAATTTGTGGTTGTCAAAATTCCTCTTCTAGGCACCAAACAAATATCCTAAGTCATTCCCACCATGAAAGAAGCACAGAAACATTATTGCATTTGAAAGATCTTAATGTTACCTCTAACAGCAGGGCCTGAGCTTTCTCCTCAGACAGCAAGCGCAGCCCAGCAGTAGCTTTTAACACCACGGGCGTTTTTTTCCAGAGATGAGGTGGCACCGCATCTACGGCCATGTCCAGCAACCTTTTGACAGTTTCAGCACCCTAAAAAGAAAGGGAATAGTTTTTTAGTGTTTTTTTTTTTTCTCCTTTCCCCTTCTTCTGCAGGAGGAAAACAGCAATGAGTCTCCACACTCCCCTTTAACACTAGTGGAATATATATTCCATAACAAGAGGTCTCTCACTCACAGTAACTATAATAACTTGTCAGTTACCAGCACTAGGCATTTTAAAAAAACCTTACAGGGCCTATCTGCACTGGAAGAATAGATTTTTTTTTTTTTTTTTAAATATATCTTATGAGAGAGAAATTTTGCTGTGCATGGAGAGTATTTTGGGGAAGAATGGAAAGCAAAGGAACTGATTACCTGACAAGCAGACGTTTTGCAGTGCAATGAAACTAAATGGGGCAATTACTGACTGAAGCTGCAGAGGGGAAAAAAAGCTCAGGAGGAAGGTCTGCAGATTTCACTAAGTGCAATACAAGAATTTCAAATGTGTCCATAGCAATTAGTATAATTAAAGTGCCAGCTGTGGAGCAGCAACACCTGAGGTACAGGCCTCACTGCTTGGCTCTCAATTATACTGCTCTAACAATTACAGTTTAGCACTAGCAATAAAACACTCTTGTGAAATTTCTTCTGGCTTTTTGTTTCAGAATAGGAGAGAGGGAAGGGGCAGATTTATCCCTCATCCAACCTAATAAAAATGCAACTTAGTGAAATCATGCAAGATTACATCAAAATTCACGAAAAAAAATCAACTTCTCTGAAGTTTCACACTCAAATTCCTGCAGCAAGGTAAGCACTGAGTGCAGCAGAGCAAACTGACAAACCTGAAGCTTCCCCTGTGCTGCCCCTAAAACTAAGGCCACTAAAGGGCACAAAAAACAGACTCCACTGCATCCTTTCTCCAGCACCTCGAGCTTGTGCAAGAGCTCCCTGGCAGCACAGGGGACCTGGAAACGGCAGCTTACGTCAGGACTAGCCCCTGTGTTGCTGTAGCTCTGACTGCCCTGCTGCTCACCTCCTCTGGCTCCTGACTAAGGGAGCAMCGTGAATAAGCATATCACACATGCAGTCACAACCATCCCGCTCAAAAACTGCATTGAATTTCATTACTTAAGTTTCTTATTACAATTTTAGATTACACATTGATAACCAATTGTSGAAAATGGAACTGTCCACCTGTGCTTTGGAAAACTCCATGTATAAGCAAAAAAGAAATCCCCAAGCAAAAGAAAATTGAAAATCACTGATCAGCTAACTCTGTGATAAACTGAGCATGACTGAAATGGCAAGTTATTAAAAATCTAACGACAGTGGCAGTGAATGGATTTTCAGAAATATTAAGAACTGAACTTACCAGTTCCATGCATTTTAACAATTCTTTCCCTTCTAATTCCTTAACCAAAATTAGCTAACAGTGAGTATACATAAAATTACATTTTTTTAGTCAAAGAATGCTTTGTCAGCATTACATAAATCAAAAAAAAAAACCCTCTTCCTTTTTATGTTATTGTTATTCTTATTTCTAAATGAAAATAAAGTTTTTTAAAAAATATCTTTACTCATATTTGGCGTTAGCTGTGGGGGAAATAAACATTGAATAGGGATGCTGCTGGAGCCAAAAAAGAAAAAAAAAAAGTCTTTGAAATTCTGTCTAGTTGAATAACAAGCTACCAGTCCATTAGTGTAATGTGTGGAATAACAGCTCTCATTTCACCACATAGAAATTAATTCACAAAGGTAACGCAATGACCTTAGAGAGGCAACAAGAGAACCTTTAGCTTTCTTTTTTTTTTTTTTTTTTTTTTTTTTTTTTTTTTTTTCCTCTCTCATCTGTCTGCTTAACAATTAGTAATATTCAAACTGTTTGGGAGAGTCCAACTAACACTAGTAAAAGGAAAAAAGCAAACAAAACAAGATCAAGTTACAGGAATAAAGGAGAGCCTTACCTTTTCAGGCTGATCAGCATATGCAGAGAGACCTGGCTTCACAGACTCAAAGATTTCCCCTTCCAGCTCTATAAGCTTTTCTGCACAAATCAAATTTTACAAGAAATTGCCAACAATTCACATCTTCCTCAGATTCAAAATTACCCTCTGCAACCCCTGTAGAGTGACTATACTCCATTTCCCTTAGCAAACAATCTTATTTCCTTCTCAAGACAAGCACTGTGCCTTTATTAAGAACACAATCTTAATTTGCTAACAACACATCAAGTTATATATAACAAGATGTTCACATTTTGTACTGGTGAACTATGATAAATTATAAGAAGTGAGTATAAGTGTTAACAAATTTTACTAAAATTAGACAACACTTCTACCTGCCAAACTGTGAAAAACTAGTTGAAATGAAGTACCTTTACAGTCAACTCAGTTATTTTATGGTGATTAATCTAGTTCAGAGCTACAAGGAGAGGTGGAGAGACTTGACTGTGCACAGATACTTGTCTGCTAAACCAGACAATGTGACCATGGCTCCCAGGGCAGTCTGAATCTAGGAGCCATCCCTGCGTATCATGGGGCAGGTTAAGTCCATCACAGCTGGTGGAGCACAAGCTCTTCCAAACTCAAGAAAGCCACACAGGTGCACTGTGCTATCCATAAGGGCTTCTTGGATGCCCTTGCAACCCTCTTGCTCATCATAACTCTCTTGAATTCTGTTTTTCACTCTCTTGAATCCTATTACATGTGCAGACAACTAGGGTACCTCTACACTGTGTCCAGATATGCTGGCGTGTGCTGCAGGTACACGAGAGCTCTCTTCCTGGAAGCAACACCTTAGTGGTTGCAGCTCTAATTAAGGCTTTGCAGCAAACTCAAATCCCTAATATATGCAAAATATAGATCTTTCCTGTTATAATACAATTTGACACAGAGTTTGACAAAGGATAACAAACTCCTCTCCAGGCCTTTCAAGATACTCCTTTAAACAACTGCACAGATGGAAGATCTTTGAAAATTCAGAATCCTTCATGCCCAGAGTGAAATGTCTGGGCTTTCAAAGATTTATAGAAAAGATATTTTCACAATGAAATGCCATCACAAACGGACAACAGTTATCTCCCACAGGCCCATTTTAAGGGCAGAGAGTTAAAATCTTCAGGTGTTTCCACATTCTGGGTAGACATAAAAGAAAATCCTTTTTGGGAAGTCAGAGCTTGACTCAACATACTGCAAGTGCACAGACTGACACAGGGCCTTACCTGGGCTCTTCTGCACAAAGGTGTAAATGTGAATCCGCGTTCCAGTGCTGCCTGCATCAAACATTATGCCATAAAAAGTGTTGGGCTTGGCATTTATAGGACATGTGTTAGGTGGAAAAAGCTCCTGAAACCAYATCTCCCTGTTTGAGTGGGAAAGAACGCAGGACACAGAAAATGCCACAGCTAAAAGAATGGGGAGTCTGGAAGCTGCCATCCTGCTGGGTCCCCTTGGGCTCCTGAAGTATGGATCAGCACTCACAGAGCTCCAGTGGTTCCTGCAGAGAGAAAAAAAACATGAATCACATTTACCAAAAACCTCCTTAAAACGACTGCTGGAAAAAAAAAAAAAAAAAAAAAACTGTCTGCACACAGATATCCTGCCCTTCCGGAAGGATGCAAGGATGCTTTTCCATACTCCATGCAAAGATGTGAGGTATCGCACTTAGTGCTACAACTGCATCCAACTGCTTCATCCTGTCGTAATAAAGGTTTTTCCATCTCCCAGACACAGGCTAGTTCAAGTAGTTTGCTTCTATGCATTTCTAATTTTGATTTTATTCAGACATTTTTTTTCCCTCTGACTGGCTTGAAAGCAATGAAGATTTACAGCCTTTAAGCTTCCCCAAAGCCCCAGTTTTATCTGAACACAAGCACCATCTAAGTGAAGCTCAGGAAAGAATCCCTTTGCCCTAACATCTGCACACATGAGATACTGTGGCAAGAACACAAGTGTTATTCAGAGGCACAAACAAAGGGAATTTCATCTCAGGCTAAGACCAGATGCTGGTGCAGATCAACATACAAAGCGTGAAGGCAGATCCTTCCAGCAGTACCCTGGTCCCCGAGAAAAGCCTGTTCTGCACAAGTTCTGAACTGCTCCAAACAGCGCTCTGCAGCCAGGCTCCGCTTCTTGATATTGCTCCATACTTTCCCTTTCTGGCTTCAATTTGGTTGTTTACTCTTTTCCCTTGAAAAGTTTTCATTTTCAGAGTTTAAAAAAAAAAAAAGCCTTCCCACCTGGACCAGTCACCCTGAGCACTCAAACTGCCCACACAGCTTCCAACAAGCCAAGGCCCTGAGGCTGCATGACACAGCATCACGTATCACAGTATCACGTAAGATACAAGAGCTACACACCTTTCTGTTAACACGTATCTCCTTGCATATATTTGTTTGCCTAAAACATGCAAATAAAGGAAATACCTAAGCACAAAAACATGTTGTTTCTGGTTGCCAAGCTAAAAAGGAGGAGAATATATAACTATCTTTTTTGGTTTTCACTTTGACAGCAGAAAGAGCAGCTGATCAGCTTCCTCACCATATGCAGCATCGGATGCATTCACAGACACCAGAAACACTCAGCACACACAAGGAGCAGGTGACTTGGCTGACCAGCTGTGTGGGAAGGGGAGAGCCATGGATGTTACCTTGACTTCAGGAAGGCTTTTGACACYCTCTCCCATAACACCCTCACRGGCTGATGAGATACAGCTAGATGAGCAGGCAGTGAGGTGCACTGCGAACTGACGGAGTGGCACAGAGTTGTGATCAGCGGGGCAGAACCTAGCTGGAGGCCTGTGGTGTCCCCTGAGCGAGTCAATACTGGCTCCAATATTAGCTTATTCGTCAATGACCTGATGATGCAAAATTGCAAGGAGCAGCTGATACCCCCCAGCCCTGCGCTGCCATTCAGAGGGAGGGACTTCAATGGGCTGCAGAGAGGGGAGAGAGGAACCTCAGGGAGCTCCATACAGTGAARTGCAGACTCCTGCACCTGGGGAGCAGCAACCCTGTGCACTGGTACAGGCTGGGGTTGACCTGCTGGAAAGCAGCTCTGCAGAGCAGGACCTGGAGGTCCTGGTGGAAAACAAGTTGAATGTGAACCAGAAATATACCCTTGGCCCAAGAGGGCTGGTGGAATCCTGGGCTGCACTGGGAGTAGGTCAAGGAAAGGATCCTACCCCTCTACTCAGTCCCAGCAATAGAATAAGAGGCCACAGGCACAAATTGAAACACAGGAAGTTCTGACTGAACCCAAGGAGTTTTTTTTTTTTTTTTTTTTAACTGCTAGAGTGACTGAGCACTGGAACAGGGACAGGTTGCCCAGAGAGGATGTGTAGCGTTCCCTTGCACAGACAGATTCTGGACATGACCCTGGGAAATGCGCTACAAGTGACAGTGCTTGAGCAGGGAGGTTGGATTAGATTTCCAGAGGTCCCTTCCAACATCAACCATTCTGTGATTCYGTAGAACAGTACATCACCCTCCAGCCACTAATTTACAGATCTATTTGTCCATAGCATTGAATATTCTATCCTATATGTGAGTCCATCTGCTCTCGTGTGCTTCTAGCCCTTAAATTCTTTTAGTGGTCTGTTCAGCGCCGTATGTTAACTGTCCCAAGGTCTTTATTTACTACCTATATTCTAAATTTATCCATTCCTAATCCCAATCTCTCTCCTTCCCTTTCTTTGTGAACTTGACCTGACCTCTATTTTCATGCACCCTCCCTCCCATCCCCAAAGAATTTTCCCTTTCCCTTCCTTAYCTTTCATCCCAGATTTAGCCATTCTACAACCTCCCTTATATAAAACATTCACCTTTGTGCCTCGCTACAGCAAAAAGAGATTAACCTTTATCCGCTCTCAGCAAACATGTCAYACTGGGTCATTCCTCCAGGGCTTTTGTAACTTGCTCAGGCGTTCAGGTCYCTCCACAGCAAACAAAACATACAGACTGTTGCCAAATAACCTTGATCATCTTTGTAATCTTTTACATATGTCCTCCCTTTCCCAGTAAATGGCCAGGGCTAAGAGCAGAAGCACAAACTCTTAATCCATTTTGCCCTAGAAGCATATTGTGAAAAGAGGCAGAAGGGGAGAAGTGATGTTAAGATTCCACAGAAAGGCAAGAGTACTGGCTGCCCTTCTGTKACAGAAGTCCCCAAAAATGGAACAGTGCTGAAACATTCCCATCTCGTGCAAAAAATCAGCAAAAATGTAGTTCTGAACTGTAAAAACTGAAAGTCTTATCTTCTACAGAACATGCTGAGCATTGCAGTTTTACAGTTACAGAGTTGTACTAAATATGTAGCTGGTTTTATTCACATTTGCTTCTACTGAAAATGCAAGGAGCTGTGCTGTTTTAACAGAATACAAAGCTGCATTAAAAATACTAGCTCCCAGTTGCTCGAAAGGGGTGTTATTCTTATGCATTACAAGTATTTTGTTTACTGAACAATCATGAAGAAAACTAAAGATCAAACTTGAGTCCTCCTACTGCAAACATAATGGGCTGCTTATACAAGCCTCAAATCTCAGCTGGTCTGATCAACTGGCACCACTAACTTAAATTTTTCTTCTCAGATTAACTAGTAGATGAGTTTTAGTGTCCTAACCACTCCCTCATTAAACCCCTCTGCAGTATCCCTTCTTAGTTACCTACTCAGGATTTTACTCTTCCCTTCCCTCATCAAGAGGGGAGAACAATCAAACCAAAAAGATCCCACCTCTTTGAGCCTCTCTGCTGAGTGGCGTTTCAGACCATTTACCCAAATGCACTCGCAATAATGTGAGAAGCACACAAGTAGATAAGGAAACTAAGAAATGAGAGGCAGACAGAAATGAGCAGAGCATGCCAAAAACTGCTAAGGATTTTGTAAAGTGAGAGCCTTAGGAAGGCATGGAGGAAAAAAATAGGGGAGAGTTAATCAAGAGGGMAAAATTAGTTAGTGAGAACCCAGAATATTATTTCTGAAAGCGTTTCTCTCAAACAGCTTCAGATGCCAGCTGATCCCCAAATGCAACAGGAGAGATGAAATGGACAATAAACAGCAGCAGTGAGGAAAGGAGAAAACAGGATAACGGCAATATAAGCACAAGTACATTAATAAAAGCAAGCAGTCCAGCAGGTGAACACACAGATTATCAATAATCTCTTTTTACCATCTTATTTTTTAAAAATGAGTAAAAATAATTAAAATATTCCCATTTGTGAATATATTAGGTATATACCTGAAAGCTGGACAGAAGCAACAGCTCCAAAAATTCCTAGCAAAATCCCCTTTGGAGCGCTGAGACAAGAAAGGGACTCTGCACGTCTTTTCTTCACTATCGGCCGGTAAGAGCCGACTATTTATAAGGCAAATTATAAGGTCACGGAGGCAGGTAAAGTATCACACGAGCTGTTTTACATAAATGGGAGTTTATCATTGCTCAATAGCAAGTGTGAAACATGCTCAGRAATTTACATGGGACAGATGTCAAGAAGCAGAAATACCAGGTGACCTCAACAAGCTGGTAAAACATTCACACGCACAAATGAGTTTACTTCAGCAGCCCTGGCCTGAATCCAGTCACGAAAGGTGGAATGCTCACTTGCAAGTATACAGCAAACCTCTGTAAATATCATCCATATAAGGCAGGATTGGGATCATAAAAGTTAAAGACACGCAGTATAGAGATGTGGAAATTATACAGGTTCAGAGAGCCAAAAATACCTGGATCCTGCAGAAAGTCAGAACTGAGTGTCCCAACCCCTGAGTCCTGTCCCCCGCTCCACACAAGGATGCAAAACAGCCACAGGAAAATCCCAGCCCCAAACAAATGAAACAAAAAACAATGTCAAAACGTAGTAAGAAACCATAGAAGAGCAAAGCACAACCACAGTTAGAATTTGCCATAAATAGAATATCATAGTGTTTTCAAGACAAGGAAGGCAGTTCCATTCTTTAACATTTTTCTGACCGATGAACACACAGAGCCCAAACTAAAGCAGGAGCTTCTCCCTGCACACACAGTCTGTCTGATGTGAGTGGAAGGGAAAGCAGTGTACTTCAGACRCACAAGATTTTTCCATGTTTCATTYCCTAAAATATTTTAGGGAAATATCTAGAAATACAGGAAAATATTAATAATCCGTATTTGCACATCCTAAATATTTTAGGAAACAAAACAAAGGAATTATGTAATTCAATTCACATTCTTATTTATTGCTCAAAGAAAGAACAATCATTCAGGTTAGAAAGTCTATTTTCTGCACTGGAAGAGGCACAAAATCTAATTCCCAGCTGAACAGCTCTTATAGTTAATACTAATGACCAGACAAATACATTTTTATCTTTTTCTTTTTTTCCTCTCACACGCAAGCAAAATGTCATTATGTTTTGTCCGGATTTACGCCTTGACAAAAACGAAAGCTTCTTAAAAGTCCATGGTTCTAAAGCCACAAGAGAAGCAGCAACTTAATTCACTACCAGAATTTTCTAGCATTTCCATAATGATAAAATTTTCCTTGCAAACATAATTTTAGGGCCAAATGCTGGACCCAGAACTTTAACTGCTAGGGGAAGAAAAAACAAACAAACGTGCAGTTTTGTTTCATCAGCAGCACTTMTCTTTCCTTCCCATACTGAGGCTCCAGAGGTAGCCACTAGGAATTATTTTCATTTTTGACCCATGGGATTTAAATCTCGTTATTAATTAGGCCAAGGCAGTTTCCCCCTGCCGAGACTTTCGTTATTCTCCTGCAGTTTGCTTCGTAGTGTCCCTATAAAACAGTTAACTCTTACAAGAGCACAAGTAATATCCTCTATTGGACCCGCAGSTACTGGTAGAGAACAGAGACACCCGGGGTAGCTCGAGCCTCTTGTTTCCAGCGCACTCAACACCCTGCAGTTTTGGTCTTCCCAAATCGGCATCTAGAATAATTCCGGGATGGGAACCTTAAGACCCTCCTTTTCAAATCTAATCATCATTAGGGCACAARTTTTTAGGTTTTTATATGCCTCGCCGCTAAGGCATTCTTTTTCCCCACTAGTGGTAAATAACGCATCAAATATTTATAGCAAACGTCCCTAAGAGACTGGGGCACTTTCATTTTCTCTGTCCAGGCAAGTGACAAGCATCTCCCTGACTTTTCCCATCTTCTTCCCACCTGGGACAGCAATAATGACAGACCACAAACTCCGGCGCTTCTCGGAGACGAGCTTCTCCCTGCCACTCGTAGGGGAGCACCACGAAACTCCCTCCGCAGGTCTGTGCCGGTGAAAGCGGCACAGCAAAAATAAAGCACCAGGGCTTCTTTAAAGAGCCGGACCTTGCGCTCTGGCGCTTTGACGCTGTCAAAGTCACTCGGCTCCTCGGCAAGTCTAAAACAGGCACAAACCGAGCGGGTSGCAGCGCCTACCCCGCCTGCCGCCGGCGCTGCCTGCGCCCGCCCCGCTCACCGCGCCGGCCGGCCGGGCGAGCCCCTCCGCAGCCTCACCCGCTCGCGCCTTCAGCCCCGCGGGAGCCGCTTCTCCGCGCTGACCTCCCGCAGCGCCGCTCGCAGCGCCCCGCTTGCCATTTCTAAGCCACGTTCGCGCTTTCCGCACACTTTTTTTTTTTTTTTTAATGGCCCCGCTGACGCAGCCGCAGAGCGCCTCGCCTCTCCCCGCCCAGGCGGCGGGGCCGCGCGCGCTCAGCCAACGGACGCGCCAACCGCCTTCAACGGACGCGCCAASCGCCTTCAACGGGCGCCGCGCAACGCGCCGCCGGGGGTGGCACTCGGGCAGCGCCTCCGGGAAGAGCCGCGGCTGCCATGGCAGCGCCGCGCTGTTCCCCCACGTGTCCCCACACCCGCCGCGCCGCGCGCTCACCGCTCGCTGGGAGCGCTCGCGGCGCCCCCATCCCGCCCGCGCCTCGTGTCGCCTCGGCGCATGCGCGTGTGACGCGCCCGGCGCGCGCCTCGGACGTGGCGGGCCGGCGCCCCGGGGATTACATGGGAACGCGCCGCCGGTTACCGCGCGTGGGGGGCCGCCATGGCGGGGGCCAAGGCGGGCGGGCCGTCCCCGCCGCGCCGGCCCGGCTCCTCCGCGGCGTCACGGGCGGCGGCGTCGCGCGCCTCGCGGGCCGGGGCGTGCGCGGCGCTCTGGGAGGCGCGGCTGGCGGCGGCCGAGGCGTCGCGGGCCGAGTACCGCGAGGCCGCCCGGCTGCTGTCCCGCAGCAACGCGGAGCTGCTGTGGCGGCAGCAGCACCAGGAGCGGGAGGCCATGGCCGCGCTGAGCTTCCTCAAGAAGCAGGACCAGGAGAAGGCGGAGGAGGTGCGTGCGGGCCGGGGCGGCGGGCGCCTCCACCGTGAGGGCTTGGGGCCGGCTCCTCCTCGGCCCGGCGCGTTCATGGCACCCGTGTCGCAGGGGAGGCTGCAAGGACACAGCTCTGCGAGCTGCAGGCGAGGGAGAGCAGCTGCAGACACTGCTGAACAGTCGGGAAAAGTATGGAGCGGCTTGGGGAATAGGGCTGCACCCAGAGTTTCCCGAAGATGCAGCTTCCATGTGTAATGCCCTCTGGAGCAAAACTAGTAACTGCAGTGCCTGCTGCCCAGCGTGTTTCAGACRCCAGCGTCAAAGATGAACGCAGGGGGGGATAATTCCCTCGCAGTTGGTCCGGGGCCTTTCCCTGTGCCAGCTCTGCCGAAAGGTCCGTGGGACCCCGGCGGGCAGGCTGAGCAAGGCGGCAGCTAGAGAGCAGGGGTGTCTGGTGAGGGCCATAGGAGACAGAGCCGAGACCTTCCWCGGGCACCGAGAAAAGGCAACAGCCCCAGCCTGCAACAAGGGAAATTACAAACAGCTCTGCAGACAAAGAACTCAACTCTAAAATTGCATTCAGTTAACTTTTTTTTTCTTTTTTTTTTCTGTTATTGTTTTATTTGAATAAAAAAGGTTAAGAAAAGCTAAATGAAGCTACATCAACTTTAATAGAATAGGGAACAAGTTTGGGGATTTTTCCATAAACAAGTTCTTTTTCTCTGGTGCAATGCTGAAATGCAATCTGCTATGACTGAAAGTGAAGTTGCCCCAACACAGAATCAGTTGAGGGTTTTTTTGCACAGCTCTGCACTGTAGCTTCCATTTTATCTTTCCTGGGTTGCTTTGCTTTAACCTTATTCCTGCTTTTCTTAATCCAAGTATCAAAGAACCCCCTTTTTTTTTTTCAGTTAGAAACTGAAAAGGGGCATTAAGTGATTTTTAATTCAGGCCTGTTCARTGAATAAGAAGGTTCAAAGCTCTGGATCCCAGGATATTGAGGAGGTTAAATAGCAGAAGAAAATCTTCCTATTCACATCCTACAGTTTTCTCTCAGCTTATATCCAGTGTCAAAACTCTGGGATCTTTTTTTTTTTCCAACTTATTTTCTCTGTGTTTTTTCCTGTTTTTCTGTTCACACTACTGAACTGCTTCTCTAACACCGTGAACACTATCTAAAACAATAAGAAACCCTTCTATCTGCATGATTTTTTTTCAGTAGATTTACAGTTCTGTTTTTATCTAGTACATACTTTTTTTGACTTTTATTTTTAAATACTTAAATAAAAGTTTATTTTCATTTTCCTGGTTTTAAGTATTAAAATGTTTTAAATGTGGTTTAATCACCCTAAACACTGCAAGTGAGGAAACATTTCCGTGTGTCTTCTTATAATCAAATTTAAAGAGAGGAAAACAGCTAGAAGACTCTTTTTTTTCCCCCTCCCACACTCACTGTTTCTTAATTAATCTTTCCACAGATTGAGAAACTGAAGCAGCAGCTGATAGATGCAAAAAAGCAAGCACAAGAAGAGAACAAGAAACTGGTGAATGAACTGTTCTTTTCCTCAGAATGGTGGGATCCTCTCATCAGACTGAACAGTAGTTCTGATTTTAGTAAGAGGAACAATGTAGGGCAGCTAAATCTTAGAAGTTTTTGATGCAAGCATCTTGTGTGGAAAGTGAGCATGAAAAAAACAATGGTGATGTGGGAGTTATCTTCTAACCCTGCGGAGTATTATTTAAAATAACAGTGTTATCTAAGTGCATCTAAGATAGTATAGGAGTCAGATGGGTAACAGGTCAGAAACACAGAGGAAAAATGTGTTCCTTTGTGCTAAGACAAACAATAGCTAATCTGAAGTCAACTGCAGTTCTTCTTTAATTAGTGATGAATTAAAGATTTTTGAACTAAGAAAAATACTGTTTACTAATATGGCTTCAGTGAGAAACACAGAATTTTGTTAATCACCACTCTAAGGCAATTTCTCCCTCACTGAGTAGTCTGCACAACATGCCTCAGGTTAGAAAGTGCAGAAAAGGTTATAGATGTTGCTTTACACTTACCACTCTTTTTTTTTTTTTTTTCTTTTTTTCTTTTTTTTTCTTTTAATGGTGGTAGTTTCTACTGAGTTTGTAGTATTTCATCTGGTGGTGAATTCCTGTAGACTTGTGGTTTGTAAAACTTAATATTTCAGTGTAATTTCCAACATTCAGTTCTATGTTCTCTGTTTATGTTATATTATTTCATAATTATTTGCTCTTATTTTGTTTTCCACTCATTAATAATTTCTGATTTGCAGGCAGATCAATACACCCAACAAGTAAAAGAACTGGAGGAGAAATTTCAGAAAAAAGTCAGAGAAATTGGCCTAATTCAGTTAGAACTGAGATTGATAAAAGAGTTCCGCAAGAAAAAAGCAGCTATGGAGAAAGAGCTGGAAGATGTAAGTTTGTTGTAAGTAGAGGTTTGGAGTATTTATTTAAAAGACAACCTGTATAGCAGCACAGAAGTTGGGAGTGGCAAATGAACACAGATGTGGCCAATTTATTGGAGTGTTTTCCATAAGTGCAGTCTGCTGAGAGTGAGAAAAAGCATTAAATGGATATAATGTGTGTTTCATAACTGGAACTCACTTTAAGGGTGGGAGAAATAACAGATCATAACTAAGCTTGATAGAAACAGAAGATGATTCTAAGATTTGGTTGGTTAGTATTGTAATTTACTTTCCATTTTACTTTGTGGGGGTTTCTGTAGCCATCCTCGTTGTCAGTGTAAAAGTAGAGTCATTGCTGTGAAAATGTGATTGTGCCTTCATTTCTGAGGAAAACATTTTTGGTTGCAGTTAAGAGAGAGAATGGAGACCTCAAGCAAGAAACATCAGGAAGTGGTTATGAGACTGGAGAAAAAGTTCCTTGAGGAAAAGGTAAAGAGTGACAGGAAACTAAGGAATCTTTTGTTAAAATGATTTCTCCTGCCAGTCACTTGGGTACGTAGTTTTAGCTGTTCTTTAAAGAAGCTCTTTCAGTGTCCAGTGTCAATACACATGCAATGAATGAGTTGGAGGCTAGTTGCAGGTTTCAAAGGAGAGCTGGGATATCGGGATCCCAGAGAGGCCACCAGGACCTTCAGTGCCCCCTGGAGGTTATTTTTTTTAGCAAGAAGTTTTGTGAGTTGAAAAGTGATTCTGGAATTTGTACTCTGACAAGTTTTGGTTACAATAATTTTGGATCTCAGGCAACATTTAAACGGGCTTTTCTCACTTTCAGAAAAGACTAGAAAAAGATGCTGAGAAGAAAGTAATAATGATGACAGAGACCGCCCATCGTGAGGCTGTTTTGTAAGAAACACTTGCTTTTCCTGTTTTCTAAAAAACATTTAAACACTGTTTTCTAAAGAACAAGTTGCCCACAGTACTGCATAATCTCTGAAGGGCTAAATAGATGATGACCTAGGCTGTTTTAAAGTTCTAAATGTAAATGGTCATTATAGCCACGAGACTTAAACTGGTTCCGGAGGAAGAATGGAGGTAATGTTATCACAGAGTCCTAAATAATGAGATAATGTCATTGTCCCAGTCCAAATATAGGACTAGAGGGAAAGCTAGAAACACTTGTTGCAGTCTGGTAAGAATTTTATCGCTTAATTCTGAAATTAGGAGACTGAAATACTGATTTTAATATAAGCGAAATGGAAGATTGTTATTACAACTCTGAAGTTTTGTTCTTCCCGGTACAGGCAGCTGAACAACACTGGGAGAGAGGTGTTTAAGGAGAATGTTCGTCTTCATGATGCTTTCGCTTGCCACCTGAAAGAGGCAGCTGAATTGCAAAAAATCAAGCAGAAGTTAGAGGAGGACAAAACTCTTCTGTTGCAGGAGAAGGTTTCTATTCTTTAGTTGTGTTTTATTCTCCTCCAGGAAGGAGTCTTTGAAGGCCAAGGTCTGGGCACAGGTATAAGTTCACTGAGATGTTAAATCTCCCCAGTCAGAGGCCTTCACAGTTACTGAATTTAGCGTTATCTCAACAGCTCTTATTTTAACCTAATCATGGGGATGAAAGAAGGAAACATTTCCTATGAAGACTCACTAAGAATAGGTCTCCTTGTAGTGTATACTACACACAACTGCCTTTATATGGCTTCTCTTGTAAACAAAACCATGATACCAGATCAATACTTGTTCTCCAGGGTTTGGGAGACAACATTTTTACTAGATTGTTAGTGTTGGGGAAAAGTAACTGTCCTGATATGCTGTGAATAAAATAAAGCTCAAAAAACTTCTATCCTTTAGGAAACCAGTGAGTGTTTGATTCAGGAAAAGATCTTACAGATCAATCAGCAGAAAGCACAGATTGAAGATCTGCAGCGTAAAGTGGAAAAACTAGAGATGGCCTTATGTTACATGTCCAGAGAATTTGAGACAGAGACTCAGAGAACACAGCGTCAGGCGCTGATACAAAATGAGGCAAGCATGGTGGAGGTCAAAAAACTGCAGCAACTGCTAGAAATGAAGGATCGTGAGATGAACCGAGTGAAGAAACTAGCCCGCAATATCCTAGATGAGAGGACTGAGGTGGAAAGGTTCTTCCTAGATGCTCTGGACCACGTGAAGCAGGAGATCATAGCCAGCAGGAAGCATTACAGGGAAAAGGCCCAAACTGCCTATTACAGAAAAATGATGGAGGCCTGTGCAGGGAAGGAAGAATTTCCTAAAATCAAAACATTCACAAGCAACATAAACAGCACAAACAGTGTATACAAAGACCTAGAAGAAGCAGAGAAATGCTATTGGTATTGAAACATTAAAAAATAGGCTCTGGCTTCCTAGCAGAAAGGAACTTACCTACCCTTGAAAAAACTTGTGTGTGCTATTGTCTAGAATAGGAATACTTGTGAAGGATGAAGTACTAAAAATAACTTTATGAGGTGTAAAATCTTATCAAGTAGTAATGAGTTTCTGAGCACCATTTTTTTCACTAGGCTATCACTTTTTGCTTATAATTTCCATGGATGTAATTAAAAATAACAAGCTGGAAAGAGGCCCCTGCTACGTGCTGTATAATCTGATAGAGAATTTCCTGTATAGATGTATTTCCTAATCTGAAACACATAATAGTTTTAACAAATATTATTGCAACTCTAGACCTTTGGTTATGTGGGTCTTGGGAATAGGCCATTCACTTTAATGATGTAGCAACACTAAAGCCTGAAAAAGCTAGTTAAGATGCTGACAGCTCTTTACTTCATTGCTGATTACAGCAAATCATCCAGTTGATGGCAAATCCAGGCTTTGTTCAGCTGCTTCTCTGTATCTGAGAKGATACGGAGATGTCCCTACTTTAAACTGTTGTCTTAAAATCCTGGTTCCCACATGCTTCAAAATAATGTAAAAATTAAGCCTTTATATAGAATAGACACTGATACTTCGTAATCAGGTGCAGAGTATGGTAAGGGTTGACAGTTTTAAGTTTTAAAATGGATGAAGAAAATCTCAGATTTCYAGATGCAAGTTTCTCAGAATTTATATTAGGATGCAGTGTAATATAACTGGGACTATATATGCCTCAGTGGCCAGTTTTCTAGCTCTAAAAACTGCTGCTCATAACCTCATACCTACAAACTGCAGCAAGTGTGTAGATTTCAAGCTGTGAAGATAACGTCCAGCAGAGATGCAGTCGGTACAGGTCTACAGGTTCCCTAGTGAAAGATCAAATGTAGCCCACTCTCAAATAAAAAGAATTGCTTATTATGTATTGGTCACCGAATGATTTAGTGACTTGCAATCCCTTGGAATACTCTGCTCAGTTCTGGTTACCTGGTCTCTGGAGTGGTACAGCAGAAGCACCGTGAATTCAAAGCCCAGAGATGGAAGGGATCAGAGACTAGAAGGCTTCTGCTTGGAGGGGACAGGAGATGGGAGACTCAACTGGGAAGAAAATGGGGTGTAGAAATTTGATCCTTTTACATAGTAGGTAGTGGATGTGCTTCTCCACTTTGGATAGTGGAGAAGCAAAGGAAGGAGAACATTCTTGAAAATAATACCTACGTAAATACTAAAAGAAAACAGTAGTATTTACAGCTAATATATGGATAACTGAAGTCTTGCTTTTGTTCTGTTTAATAGTTTAGACAGCCATATATTTAGAAGTTGACAGCACTGTGTGCTCAAGTGTATTTTTTATTTATATTCTATGAATAGCTGAACCCAACACAGGAAATCAATGGAATGTCAGAGGAAGAATTGAAGAATTGAAACCCTTTTTTTACCCATATAGAATCCATGAGWCATGTCTTTGGACTTTGTCTCCTAATGCATTGACCTTTGTTTTTCAGGGGAAAAGTCCAATTTGAAAAAGTTGATATCCGTGAGCTGACATGGGAACAAAAAGAACGTGTCCTGAGATTACTTTTTGCCAAAATGAATGGCATAAATCAATGGTAATACTCAATTTCTTCAGTAGGTAAATGCAGAGCTTTCCCTGTTAGAGAAACAAGGCTGGTAACTCTAGGTTAGGGGCTTCCAGGAAACTCTGGGTCTAGCATTGCAGCTTCCTGTGTGACTTGGTGAGAGGTATTTTAATCTTCTTAGCAGGTGACATAGGCTATTTTTGAACATGCACTAGACTATACTGTAAGATCTTGGTGTGCGGTATCAAATAAAAGCAAGTGGAAGAAAACTTCTGATAGTGTACAGGAAGATAGAGAAATAGCTTTGATTAGTGCAGTGGGAGTAATTTTGTTCAGTTATTAACCTTATTTTACCCATTTTTACSAAATTTGTAACCTATTTTTACTACCTATTTTTACCAAATAATATATATGATGATAGTAGTACTCCTCACATATATTTCCTTCTAATCAGAACACCATAAAGCAATCTGCCTAGTATTGAAAAGATACAAATGTTCATAAGTTTCTGCAAATACACTCATCCTGTGGCTCGTTGCTGTCGGCATAAGAAGCATATGAACAGCATTTCAGAGATGTCTAAAATATTTCTCACATTGGAAATTCAAAAGTTAAACATCATCAAATATTTTATAAGCTATGAACTGAATAAATCACCACGTGTATAAAAGGACTTAAATGTAAGTCTAAAATGCTGCTCTTTTTCATGTATTTTGGGAGAGCTAATGCTGAACATGCAAGTCACCTCCTTTAATTTAAAGGCATTGGTATGAATTCATTATTTACAAAAGATACACAAACAGAAAATTAGCAAATGTTGTTGCCTTTTTTTACAGTAGGAGTAAAATATGTGTAAATAAATGAGTTGTCCATGAGCACATGCAGCTTCTATACTTCCAATTTATGCATGGATTTAACCTCTTTTATTATTATTTGCCAATGTACAAGAGCACATGTAAGGCTATATAGTATAAAAGCCTGAGAAAAGGAACACAAACCTTTCACTTTAATTAGACTTCAAGTTAAAAGCAGGTTTTAAAATAAAGTTTTTGATAATTTCAATGATTGCCAATATAAAGCAGCTATGTTGTGTATTTCAAGTAATATTATTCTATTTATATTAAAAGAAATTTTCCACATGTAACTATCGTGTTTTTTGAGAAGACTGATTTATTTGTTAATAATTTGCCTACACATATTCTAATTTACAGACTTTAGTCTTTCTTATTTTATGTCAAACTGTGTCCAACAGTTTTATTGTATCTGTTTAGGGAATAGATCTTTTGACTGGGAATCAGAAAGGAAACGGGACTGATGAATTAATACATTGTTCAGAGTCTGTATTACTGTATGTAATAGATCCAGTGTCCTAGCACTTCTTGCTTTTCTTTTAGAAAACAAGGAACAGAGTTTGGTGTGGGATTAGAAAAACCTGGCTGAGTGTAGATTGCCTGTAGACAAGGATCATTTTGCACTCGTTTCTTCCTCACAGGAAATACAGCAAAGATTTGGCCACTTCAGCTCCTAATGACAGTGGAGAAGAAAACAGAGATGGGTAAGATAACAAATTATATTGTTCTGTCTAATATAAACTTAGCTCCTGACTATGAACAGATGCAATTATCTCTCTCTCATACGAAGATGTATACTGGTATGTTTACACAATAAGAAATGTATATAAGAAGATAGAAAGGAATTTTAGTATTATTTCAAAATTTCTGGTCATTGCAGTCTTTTTATGGCAGGTATTAGACTCATATAACAAATTTTGAGAGTTACACTGTTAAATAGTTTTGAGAATCTAGATTGCAGTACCTTCAAGGCAAGATAATATTTTAAATGGGAGATAAAAGAGTTGGCAGTAAGGTTGCATTCTAGCACAGGCTAAAGACATTTATTATAAGATTTTATGCATTTTATGTTTGTAATATAGAAAATAGATTATTTGGGTTTTGTATGGTGAATGTTGAAATCAGGAGGGTAAATAGGAGGGTGGAAAGCAATAAGAGCAGCGAGATGATCTGATGCAGATGCAGTGGGCATCTGCAGCTTGATCTAAAAAGGCATTTTAATAACTAAAAAAARCACATATAAGATTTATACTTCTAACGCAGTTATTTAAAATCGTCTGTTTAAAATCTATCTTTCAAAATGCTGATAACCATAAAAGACGCTTGCACACACATGAAAGGATTGTACAACTATTTGGAACATTAGTCTGGAAATATTGCAGGGGTACTTCTGCAGTACTTCAGACATCAGATAAACTTGAAAATGAAGACTGGTTTTGCTATAGGAAAAGTTGATTTTAGAACTTCTAGAGGGCAGTTAGTAGGTTTTAACAGGGCAACAGAAAAGTCAGAACAGCAATACCCATGAGGAGGAAAATGAAGGTGAGCTGAAAGTGAACAACTATAGACACYATTGAAGATTATTATTTAGAATTCCTTTCCCCTGTGTATCAATGAATGTCAATGTTTTAATGGTGATTTACTGAGAATATTTTACCTTTGCAGCACAGAAAATATTCCTCCCAGCCTAACATTCATTACACAGCAGGCTGAAGTGTCAGAGTCATCATCTTCTGCACTAATCCTTCCCCACATTCCGATGTTCACACCAAAGACCAAGTAAGGCAGCTATATATGCTTTGAATGAACAAGACCAACAGCCACCACAATTAACTCTCATTGGCACTTTTCATTTGTGAAGTCATCTTGTGAGTGATGCTGCTATTTTAAATTTGAAAGTCTGCTACATTGCTGCTTTGACTGTTGTTGAAATTAGCCTGAAATCTGCCTTAAGTATTTGCTTAACAAAGCTTAACGATTTGCTTCTTAAACAAAGATTTTATTCTTTCCCGAGGCAGAATCTAGGATCACTCTGTACACAATTTATTTGGATTAATGGTTGCTACTCTCTATAACATGATTAAGACATCTTTTCACTTTGTAATAAAGTAATTTGGATACAGCATAAGAGATTTTATAATCAAGTGATGTAAAAACAGAAGCAAAAAATTCCTTGAAATGCKGTATGAAATGAGATTGGTTTGGAGGGCCCTGAAACACTGTAAAGGAGGTTGGATAACGTGTATTAGAGGGGCCAGGGACCCCTCTGGCCTCTGCAAAGAACACATAAAGTGAACACTGTACCTATATAATGTTTTAACAAGGAACAATCATTTGCTGCAGAAATGTATTAGCAAGTTTTTAATTCATAAACAAATTGCCAAGGTGAGGATCGCCCTCTAGGGTACTACAAAGTGAAAAAGCAAGATACAAACATTAGTGGATCCAGATCAGTTGCACTAATATACAACTGTCAGTAACAAAAGGCACCCTTATGAGAAGGCAGAATACAAAGTGTTCACATTCAGCTTTTTAATTGGAAAGAGTCATGATTAGAATCATTAGAATATTATTATTTTCCATGGGTGCTTGAATGTGCCTTCCTGCAGGTCCTTTTTGCTGTATCACCTTCCAGGTGAAGCAGGAATAAAAAAATATAAGTTCTCTAACTCTGAATGCACATATTTTAAGGACAGGGTCAACTAAGACTTAACCCTCTCTACTAACAAGACCTGCAGTCCCTGGAGGATGTTACTGTATGTTGCAGCAAAATTTAACAGAGTCAAACAACCTATACAAGCACTACAACTAGAGTCAGGCAAATTAAACAAGAGAAGACCTGGCTGCTTTCTGATTAAAAAAATATATAGGTGTGCATATATATATTTATGTATTCTTCTAGCCTACTGATCCTTCAATGTCTTGAAATATCACTATGAAAGTGATATTTTCTGAACTTCAACAATAGAAACTTCAATATGTGGTATCTTCATTTTATGTAAAGTCACTTCTGTGAAACACTTCTATGAGACATCTGAAGCATCCCAGAGATGACACTCAAAAAGAGTGTTAACTGTTTTGAGTAACTCAAAATGTAAGATAAGGAGATAAAGAAAAATGCCACAAAATGTAGCCAGTAGTAAGTCACTAAGGCTAAAGATATTGAAGTGGAAAACAGTCAGAATAATGTTCAAATTGAGTGAGTCTGGAAATAAATATAAACTGAGGTCAATCCCATTGTTAATCTCAAACTTTCCATTGAATAAGATTATTTCCTCTGCAAAGGGTTACCAGAAGAAATTTGAATTCAGTTAACTGAAAACGGCTGACAGCAATAGGAACCCCAGACTGTGTTACATGAGTCTGCCCAATTTAACCAGAAACACAGGCCCTTGAGAAAAATGCAGCTTTCTATTCATTCCCAAGCAAATGCTGATAGTCTGGACAAAGCTGGGAAAGTGTCTGCAGCACAGATGGAGAAGGGCACCAGAGACAGCATCTGTAAAGGTTGACTTAGTTCCCCATAGTTGGCATAACCACAGCAGGCTTGATAACAGTGGCATCTTCCTCTTTCCATTGAGAAATAACAGTTTTAAGCTGTGTGTAGAACTGCACTCCCTGGAGAAAAAGAAGAGGCACAAGAATCAGATGTTTGGCATTATCTTTTTTTTCAGGTCTACACCAAGCAGTTTCTGCTACATCTCCATAGGATTCAGTTTTCCTTCTTGGGAGCCACTCTGTCATCTTCCCTCCTTTACCAGTTCCTCACATTCTGGTGCTGTAAGAAAGCTTACTACTCAGTTCTCCATCCCATCTTAAACCTCCACTTCACTAACCGAGTTCTGAGTGTCTCCTCACAGCCATTTCTAACATAATTTATCGCAAATCAATCTAACAGATATTCAGAATTAGTTACCTGTTTGCCATAGAAATTGGTGTCTCCTCTGAAAGAAGCCCGAGAGCCGGTGAAAGAGAACATGGGCAGAGGTACTGGGATTGGAACATTGACACCCACCTAAACCAAAGGAAAGTTGTCATGTTAATGCCAAGAAAGAAATGAAGCAGCAGAGTGCAGAACGCTCTCCAAACCCACTACATTTTGTTTCTGTTATTCCAAGGTTATATACTGTTGACATAGTAAATGGAGAGCTCAAATGGCAACAATTCTAACTTTAATGTACCTGCCCCACATCTACTAAGTGGGAATATTTCCGAGCTGTGGCTCCATTGGTGGTAAAGATGGCAGTTCCGTTGCCGTAGGGATTATTGTTCACCATCTCAATTGCGTCGTCTAAATTGTCTGCTTCCATAACCACCAAGACGGGCCCAAAGATTTCTTCCTTGTAGCAAGTCATGTTTGGCTGCCAAGACAAAGAGCAGACAAATGAGCCTGTATGAACTCCTAACAGAGAGCCAGGCCCACACACCACTCCTGCCCAGAATACGCTCAGGATCACCCAGCACTGCCAGAGACCTCCAGGCCTCCTTGCCCTTCCACCATCGCTCATGCCCTGCCAGTTAACTCTAGTCTACAAAAGAGGGTACCCCTTTTCATCTGCAGGTTGCTTTCTGCTCTTCCTGCCTGCCTGCTTTCAGTTCTAGGTCTACTTTTTGAATGTGGCAGATTAAGACCAGGATTAATTCAGCGTAGTTTACTTCATTTTTTCCAACAAAGTGGCTACAACCTGCCGTCCTCTCAGTCTTGGCAGTTAACTATGTGCATCAGTCACATTCTCATTTTTTTCTACCCGTCTTTTCCTCATTCCCCAGCATCCATCCTGCCCTCTGACTGCACTGTACTTCATTCATCTCCCCAGTCAGATTTCATAACATTCTCGGGCATTTAAAAGACAATAATACATGTGCAAAACACAATTTTGACAAGTTGCATGTTTTATGCAGCTGTTACTAATTTTACTGCTGTGTAACAAAGAATCACAAAATTTCAATGCAACTTTTAATTTTGAATGGGAAACTCCGCAATATTTATGATACACTAAAGGAAACAAAAAAGATGTTTAATGAGAATGAGGCAAAAAAAATCTAAGATAGGTTAAAAGCTTGAATTATATAATAACACTAAGAACATAAAATCCTAGGAATATAAAGTACAACCGCAGAATTATTAAGACTAGTCTGCTGCCATGGAATCACTGGCCAGGAGGTCTAAACTGAATTCTTCAACACTGAAGAAACTATATCAGCAAATTGCATGAAGATAATTTAAAAAGAATATATATGAAAAAATGCTTGAGATGATTGCACCTTATGCATTATGCTGATTCTATTGAGTTGTGAATATATTCACCAATATAGAGATTTTGTAGTTTATCCTCTCATTCTTGCAAAGGTTTGATAAAATACAACTTTYAGTTAATTAAGTTCTTAAGTTGCAAATTGCAGGAGGGTGTAAGGGTATGAGGGTATGTTTGACCCTCATACTCTTATTTAAGTATCTGCACTGGCCGTTATTACAGACAGGTCACCAAGCTTTATGGTAATACTAACTGATCATGTTTCTTTTATTTGTTTTGTTTTTCCCTAAATTGGCTGCAATCCATTCAAGTTAAGATTATTAACCTTATCCGGTGTCTGTTGCAGCCCCTGGAGTTTCTTTACTGGCCTCCACAACTGCAGCACTTCACTGCAGCTACGCCAGGGAAGCCAGAGCCCTACAGACTTTAAACCTGGTGATTATTAGTGATGCTTTGGGCAAGCCATGTCTCCACTGACCCTATGATATATGGTGTATATTGATTATCTTACCTTCACATTGGCAAGGATCGTTGGCCCAACAAAATTGCCATTTTCATAGCCCTTCACTTTGATGTGACGTCCATCCAGAAGAAGGCTGGCACCTTCCTTGACTCCCTGCTCGATCAGATGACAAACCCGTGCCTTAGCTTGGGGACTGATCAGGGGCCCTAGATCTGCACCAGGTTGGTCTCCTGTGAAAAGGCAGACAAAGTTTTTAACCCTGACAGCTTCCTCTTCATAGAGAGCAAGGAGGTAACCACATTGCCAGTAATGATCCTTTTGAGACACAGAACCAACATCTGGGCCATTAACGAACTAGAAGTACTGGCTTGCTCTCAAAACCAGCAGATTATGTATAAGTTCAAGAGTTGGTTAATACTATGCTGAAGATCAACTCTACGGAACTTCWAATTTTTGGAAAAGCCTTGCTAAACAAGAGTGGTCAGAAGTAGCAAAGGTTCATCTTCTCTTTTATATACATGAAATAGCCATTAAGAACAAGTTTAGCTTGCGGTCAAAGGAAGTGAGCTGGTTTAGCCTTTGATTGTTCAGGTGTCAGGAGACATTGCAGTGTGTCAGATACAAAGACCTAGAAAGCCTAGAAAGCAGTTAAACGCAAGCCAGCTACCTGACAAGAAACTATCAGAGTTAGTACCTGCATTAACACGTAGGTTTTTGGCTCTCTCCACAAGTTCTGGCAGCCATTTCTGTGATTCTCCCACTAAGATTGCGGTAGACAGGGCCATGCAGCGTTGGCCAGCTGCTCCAAAAGCAGCTCCAACCAGCTGGTTCAAGGTGTTCTCTTTATTGGCATCAGGCATCACCACACCATGGTTCTTGGCTCCCTGAAACACAGCACATACCCAGCTTCCCATTATTGACCACCGTCCCCACATCTTCCCTAGCTCTGTGACAGTATCTCCACATAGTAGCTATGACTCTGCCACCAACAGCCTGGCAARAAGGGAAGCCTCATCACTAAACTAGCAGTAGCAAAGTCAGCTGCTACTGCTGAGGACAGTGGCCTGTCCTAACATGCACATGAAAGAGGCAGTGCGTGTGCAGAAGCCCGCTCCAGTCAGAGGTATTACCATGTTGGCCTGGACCCTCTTGCCATTCCGGGATCCTCTCTCATAGATGTACTCGCCAGCCTGATTAGATCCCACAAAGCTGATTGCTTTGATATCCGGATGGTCACAGATGAAATTCACAGCTTCAAATAGGAAATAACACATTATGCACAAATGCTTCCCTCAGTTCCCATCCCTATCCTGCAAGATCTGTAATTCTTTTCCTCCTCGTCTAGACTCTTGCCTCTGTGTTTCCCACATTTAAGGTCATCTACTGCCTGCCCATGTATGTCTCCACTCTGATTCCTCTGCACCTCTGCCACTCTGCTCATATACCTCCTCTCCACCATCTCTTCACCCTCTGAGCCCCAAGTATCCAAATTCCAGGTGCTTTAAACCATCTATTTGGCAGTAAAACCTAGGCCCACTTCTGCAAGTGACTAAATAATCTAGACTACCCMCTCTGAATCCCAGCTAGTCTCCCCTTCTTTAGCCCTGCCTATTGGCATCCACAGGACTTGCACTTTCAAATTTGTCTCCCTCCTCTCCACCTCATCTCTGTAATAGCCAGTAATCTAGCAGGGAAAGTAATGAAAGTAGCTACCCAGAATTAAGCTTCCCGAGTCATATTCCAAGGCTTAAAGTGATGTTTTCCAAAGTGCCCAAGTGATGCTGAAAGAAATATACTGTCAAACTCTGTATTCTTGTGTTCTGGAACCACTTGATCACTTTGGCAATACACCACTAGGTGCAACAATAATGGTATCCACTGTATATTCTGGGATGCACACAAGTGCTTAAATGTTGTGTAGGCTTCTTTAGAAAAGCAGTTAGGTGATTCATCTACTTATTTCAGTTGTAACTTGGCCAAATAGAATGTGAGCAGTTACATGCTGTGGTAACTCTGACTCTCAGTCTCCCACATTTTGGCYATACTATCTCCTGGAAGATTTGATGCAAATTGCATTGAATGGCTCAGTCATCTCCCTCATCAGGCTCAGGTGCCTTTCCAGACCTATCTCTACTCCAGACTCTCCAACTGCTTTATTATCTTCTCTGAATACCCATATATCACAATGCCTGCACACTCCAGCCATCTCCCAAGAAGGGCTGCTGTTACCTTCATGCTGTCCATGGATGATATTCAGGGTCCCATCGGGGGCACCTGCRTCTTGAAAGAGCTTAGCAAGGAACATGAGCGTTCCCGGAACACGCTCAGATGGTTTCATCAAGAAGGTGTTTCCACAAACCATAGCCATGGGGAACATCCAAAGAGGAATCATGGCTGGGAAATTGAACGGTGCAATTCCAGCACACACTCCCAGAGGCAGACGGTAGGTGTGAGTGTCCATGTCTTTAGTGATGGAGGGCATGGTCTCTCCCAGAATGAGGGATGTCACACTGCAGGCATGTTCAACCACCTCTGCAGCAGAAAGGTCAACATGCCACTGGGTGATTTGTTAATATTCAAGCCCCAAACTCCCTKCTCACCACTTGGGTCTTGACCCAAATCTTCCTTCCAGCCTCTTTCCCCACAACTTAAAGTMATTGTGCTCTGGAAGATCCCTTTGCTCTGTCAAGCATCGTGAGCTGGTTGTGAATGGTTTCTCTCATGGGTATGTTACATGTTTGTGTGATAGGAGCACAGATACAACAGCCCCAGTAAAAGAAGTACAGATGTGGTACTGCTATACTATCTGGGACTCAGTTTCAGATACCTGAGCACAAGCCAGAAGTTCCTAATGTTTTCGAGACAGTTGTAGTTAATTACCAGAAAGGGAAGGTACTGACAACTTGAATGTAGTTCTTAAAAAAATAGATCTAACGGAGCTTCTCAAGTTAGAGCTCCAATTGCTCTTYCTTCACAAGGAAGATGGGAAGGGAGCTACATGCACGGACTCCTAGAGCAGCTGTTGSTCAGGAGACCATGTCCCTTCTATGGGTTCTGAAGCACTTGCTAACAGGAGGGGCCAGCTGCTTACGGAGGCCTCGGAACACGTCTCCTTCAGCATCAGCCAGGGTCTTCCCTTGCTCATAGGTGATGAGTTTTGAAATTTCTTTCTGAAAATGAAAAAACACAAAGTTCATGACAGTTTGGAAAGGACCTGCTTGTGAGGTACAATGGAGGTACAGGACATGTTGCTTAACAGCTGAATGTTGAACAGACTGAGCAGAGCCTGGGAAAGATGACACCAGTTGATTTGTTCCTCGTACACAAGAAGCTAATTAGCCACACAGGTGACACTGTTTAAAAGAAAACTGTGGGGTTGGCTTTTATTCTGCGGCTATCGTGTCACACCACAGATATCCAAAGACACAGAAAAGGCAATCTAGGGTAACAAAAGCCATGGCAGCTTCTCCCACTATTTTTTTTTTCAACTGGCACATTCTCTCCCACAGTAAATTCCTCCCACAGTATTTTGACAAAGGAATTAATGCAGAAGAACATTCCCCAACAAGATGCCTCTCTGATCTCACTTGCCTGAAGACTGCTTTTCCACACCTCTCAGTTATGGTGCCTGTATCAGCTCCTCAATCATTGGGAATGTTGCCCCACCGAGAGCTCAAAAAATTCAACAGTTTGAATCAACTTCTGGAATCGACTGCCATGCACTCAGACTCAGACTCAGCTACAGGTATCTCACCAGATTGTCTTTGATTAGCTGTTGGTAACGCAGGAAGATTTGCTGGCGACTCAGAACAGATGTTTCTGACCAGTTCGTAAAAGCCTTTTTGCACGAAGCCACAGCAGCCTCCATCTCACTTGGGGTGGCCTTTGGCACCCGACCAACCACTTCATTTGTTGCCTGGAGGGAAAAAACAAACAGCATCAAAACTCAGCTTTCTCCAACTATTGCTCTAACCCATTCAACTGTTCTTTCACATCACACCCTCAATATACTTATTCTAAGAGGAGAGCACAAAAGAAGACTCCCCTTAGTGTATGTGAATGACATAGGCTACAACTGCAGTTCTGTGTATGCAGTAGTGACTTCCAAACGCTTTTGTCGAAGTGACTTCTCTGATGTAACACATCTCTCAGCCTTAGAGTGCCTAAGGCAAAGGTTTCAGAGGACTTTGTCCTTTTCCCTCTCCAGTGTCTTGGCTCATCCGCTGATCCTCCTGTGTGTTTAATGAAGCAAGGGTCCTTTGAAAAAGGCAGCACGTGACTGTGCAATTGGCATTCATGTTATAGTTCACCTAGATCACTAGGCAGAAGTAAGATCAACATTACGATCAACTTTAGCTGTACAATATTTTCACTTTTAAACCCTGCCTTTTCCAGTTTAACCTCCTTTCAGTGCAGTCTTAAMAACTAAATCTGTTTTGACATAACAAAAACATTGCTAAGAGAGAAACTACTGAGGACTGGAGCAAACAAAACAAAACAAGAACACTGAATGTTCCACAAAGAGCACATGAGCTTCGTGAACAGTGCTCTGATCACATTCAAAAGCATTTCAAAATAAAGCTTCACAGAGAAAAGTTTCAGAAACTGCTGTCCAAATGCTTGCTGCRAGGGTCAGACCCTTGAACACGATCTCATTTCCATTTGTTTTTGCTTGAGGACTGAGATTAGTGCACATGCTTTCCCTTTTCCCCCACTGACCCAACAGAGGCACAGACCCTGGCTGCACAGTGTCTGCCGAGACACACGCAGAGGCCCTGTCACTTACTGGGTTGTGGATATCGATCCATTCAGTCGTTTTGGACTCCACAAACTTCCCATCAATKAACAGTTTGGTTGTTGGCTGTGGAAGACAGAACACTGGACAGTGAGTCATCTTTGTCTCAAGGTAAATATGCTTTATGCATAGAGAAAATGTGCTTTATTACAGGCAGGTCTTCCCCGCTCCCTGTACACTGACCATCAGAGGACCTGCTCCCCATCCTTCACAGCCATGCCCAGCTAGCTGTCCTGGCTGAAGTTTTTCATGCTGCCCTTCCCTCACTTCCCTCAATTGCCCCCAGTTCTTTCTAAAAACAGTTCAAGAAAAAATTCATTGATATGCTTATATTCAGAAATATTTCAATCTACTTAATCATACTGGAGTTTACCAAGTGAGAAGACTGAAAATACAGCCCTCTAACACATTGGTACGTATTGGTCGTTCAGCACTGGAGAGGCAAYGGGACTACAGCAAGCAGGAGAGCAGAATGGGACTGCAAAAATGAAGGGACTGGTAATGAATGGTACAGAGTTGATACAGAGAGATAAGGAGAGAAGCAGGAGAAAGCAGGAACCTGTTAATCATGGAGAGAACAGCGAGGGAGATGAAAGAACTGCAGGGAAATGAGGCCCAGAAAACACTGGAATGGGATAAAACGATAAGATAAGGGCAAGCGGGACCTGAGGTATGAACAACACAAATGGGGCATATCTGATAAATAAAATAGCTAGAATWAAAAAAAAGTAGCAGGGAGCTGTGTAAAGGAAAGAAATTAGGCTATGGAATCAGGATTATTATTATGATTAGGATTGGGCGGCAATCTGAGCTGTAAAGAAGGGACAGGGATGAAAGGAAGAATTAGCAAAAGAAAGGCGTTGGCTGAGATCAAACTGGATGAGAGTAGGAAAAAAATGTGAAAACAGTGAAAAGTAATGAGAGTTGGGATAAGCTGAGACATGAGGACTAACATGAGACGTGTGGAGCAGGACTGGTGGCGGATAAGCGAGACCTATTGATTTGGGAGGCAACACAGGAGGGTTCCAAAATTAAGCCCTGCAGCTGATACCACACCCAGGAACAGGGCAGGACGGTCAGTGCCTACGAAATCACATTCCCCTCTAGGCCCCGAAACTAAGAGCAGGGCCCGTCCGGTGCCTTCGCCGCCGGCCAAGGTCTCCGGGCGCTGCTCTAAATAAGGAAAGGCCAAAGCCTGGCGCTGTCGGTGACGGGCGCCCCAAAGCTGGGCCGCGGTGGCACCACGGAGCCAAGCCTGCCCAGGTGCCTCGSAAAGGGCTATCTAGGATAGCTAACGCACCACGGGCAAAGAAAATTACACTATGCAATTTAGGAAAAGCTGGAATTAAGATTGATTGCACTTTTCCCACAGGATCTCCTCCCCCCCCCCTTTTTTTTTTCCCTGTAGTACCTGTGCAATTGGGATTTGGGAACGAACACCCATGGGCAGCAGCAGAGAAGGGCGCCTAAAGCCGCTGACGCGGTTAAATATTTAACTTAAATACTTAAATACTTAAACACTTAAATACTGCCCTGGTGACCAGGTCTGCGTGCCTCTGCCCCGGCTCGGGCAGCGCGGGGCTTCCCAGCGCTGCTCCCTCCCGTCCCGCTGCCCCCGCGGGGCCCGGCGGGCAGCAGACCCGGGGCGGCGGCCCGGGTTTGCTGCACGACCCTGCACGGCGGCCTGGAGGCGGCCCCGGCGCCGCCCGCCCGCGGCGCGCACTCACCGCGGCGGCGGAGGACGAGGCG